GAGACGACAACTATAATAAATTAAAACAAAAATTAATTATTAGTTTCTAAAGTTTCTAAACAAACAAAAACAAAATAATTTTCAAAAATATATAATCAAAAAAAAAAACAAAACAATAATTACTTTTTTCAATTGTGTTTTATTATTATTATTATTATTATCACTATTATTAGTATCATTATTATTATTATTATTGGTATCGGTTTTAGGAATCGGCTGATTATAATTATCAATATAATCGTCGCTTTGTTGTTGCAATAGTTTGATCACTTGTTCGGCTGCCCGACGTTTGGCCAGTTGTCTAGTCTTGCCCATACCTGTCCCTACTAGCGGTTCCCGATTTTCGCCAATAGTTAGCTGACATTTGACCGTAAATATTAGCTCATGACATGCGCCGGCGGCCGACTTTCGGCGTCCAAGATCTTCGTAGTCGGGCATCTGTAGGCCGTGTTTGGCGCACAGTTCGTGCAATACTGAAACGGCCGACTGTTTGGCGGCCATAGCCGCCGTAGCCATTTCGGCAATAACGGCATTGTTGTCTTGGGTAGCATCGGGTACCGGATTGTGAAGCATCCAACCGAATATATAGGCACAGCTACCGGTGCTGATGATCATCGACAGTTGGATGGACACGAATAGTAGGTTTAATAATAATTTCGGACACATTATATATATATATATTGAATTAATAAAATAATTTTTTTATTTGTGTTTGATTTTTAAATATCAAATATTAAAGTAAACTATTTTTTTTTATAATTAATTCACAAATTTTCAATTTTTTTTTATTAATTATATATAAACTTATTTCATGTAATAATCAAATCCAATAACTTTTTGTTTTTTTCTCTTCAATGTTGTTATCAGTGATGTTGTTGTTGTTCAACACAAATATCTTAACTGAACAAAACTATTAAGTGGACAGTGATTTAAATACTTCCAGGGCTGGAACCCAAACACATACATACATACTTACTTATACCTATTAGAACAGGTAGTTTTTATACACCTGGGCTGCTGCTGATGTATGTATTGTTAGCCTGGGAGCTGAGCTGTCATATCAAACTCATAATATACAGTATATATATATATATATACTCCTATATAGTGAAGTGCATTACTACCCAAAAATCATTTACAAATTGTTTGGGACTAAAGATTAGAGAGAGAGAGAGAGAGAGAGAGAGAGAGAGAGAGAGAGAGAGAGAGAGAGAGAGAGAGAGAGAGAGAGAGTGGCTTAACTAGAAAAACATATAATACAGTTAAAGTAGAGATAAATATAGATTTAATTAATTAATTATTTATTTTATTTTTATTTGTTTGTTTGTTTGTTTGGTTATTCACTGCCATTATTACTGTATTATCATTATGTTTATCATTGTTCAGTCAATTTCTATTGTTGTTATTATGATTATTATTATTTAAAGTAAAAGGTGCTAGATTAGTTTTAATGATAAAATTAAAAAGAGTCTGGGTTAGTTAATGTCACTTAGTAAGAGAGTGAGTGAGTGAGTGATAGAGTCTAGGCTCACTTTTGGGATTCACTATATAATTGTAATTACAGGTGCTCTGGACACATACATACATACATACACGCATACATACATACACACATACATACACACATACATACATACACACATACATACACGCATACATACATACACACATACATACACACATACATACATACACACATACATACACACATACATACATACATACACACATACATACACACACACACAAATACATACATACATACATACATACATACATACATACATACATACATACATACATACATACATACATACATACATACATACATACATACATACATACATACATACATACACACACATACATTCACACACATACATACACACATACATACATATATAGATACCCTTGACACTAGTTTAGATTGATTTTGATGGCAAATTAAGATAATAGACACTTACACATAATTTGTGAACAATATATATATATATATATATTTATATCCTATCTAAAAAGTGTCAATAAGTCAATGTTTAATAGACAGTATATATATATATATATAATCTATGGGTTCTGGGACTGGTATTGAAAAAAGGGTATTACTAATCCCAATGCCTTTTCAATTATTTCACAAAAGGTGGTCCCAGACACCAAATGATAAAACCAACTGTCAGTCACTCACAATGGTTAGTCTCTCTCTCTCTCTCTCTCTCTCTCTCTCTCTCTCTCTCTCTCTCTCTCTCTCTCGTTAATATTAAATACCTGAGCATATATATATAAGATAATAATAATAAACTAAAATTTTATGGGCCACTCAACAATCTACCTGTCCATAATGGTATGTAGAGCTTTTATAACTTTTGAAACACTTTTATAATAGTAGTCCAAAAATATTTGCTGCCATCCCAACCTACCCTACCACCACTACCATCATAATCATAATATAATAATAGCACATTGACATTTTAAGCACCTGTATACCTATATTTTTAAATACCTATACTGTTAAGTATCTTAAATTGAGTAGTGCTCAATATCTGACCACCAAAAATTTTATTAATAATAATTATAATAATGAGATACATAAGTGTTAATACCAGTTAATACCAGTGTATTAGCATAAAATAAAATGTCATTATTATTATTATTATTATTATAGTTGATAATGGATTTCAATGTATGGGATTCATAGTATACATATATAGGCTTATTGTAGTAAAAATATTTGTGAGAGATATTAATTATTGAATTTGTTTAGTAAAATTATATGACCATTGGGTGTATTAATAATCAATTAACTATAAATACACTAGAATAACATTATTATTATTAGTATTATAATTATTGTTATATATTGTACCTAGTTAATTTAGAAAAGTAAATAAGATTTATACTGTATGAATAAATAATAATTTAATAATAATTATTATTATTATACTAAAAATTTAATAATTTCAATAATTACTAAATAAATAAATTGCAATTTTTATTTTATTGATATATACAGTACAGTTAATGTGTACATAATTTATAGTTATAGTTACCAAGAATATAATTTTATTATTATAATATTAATTATTATTATAATTATAATACTGTAATAATGTTTACATAAATATTAAAAGTATTAAAAACATTAATTAATCTATTTTTTAAAATGTATTAACAATAATTATTTTTCAATACAATACATGCATTGTTTTAATTTGGATTTTAATTTTTATTATATATGCAATATTATATTTAAATAATAATTTAATTATTTTTAAAGAAATTATTTTATTTTATATTGTATTAGTTAAGCCAAATTTGTTGAAAATTGTTTTTAAATATTAATATTAAAAAAAACATTTATAACAGTATAAAAAATAAATTAGTATAAACAACTTAGGTATTATATTTAATTAATTTTAAACGAATTAATATTTTATAATAATAATAATATCTTCGATAAATTATCATAATTTAATTAGTAATATAGTAATTATTATTATAACAGAAAAAAATTATTAATAATAGTTTATTATATCTTAAATATTTATCTTATATAAATCAGTTACAGTATATCTGATATACAGTAAATTTATGTAAAGCTTAATCATTATTATACTACTAGTAATTATTATTATTATTATTATTAACAATTATTATTATTTATTACTAACTAATAATACATATATTTGACAATATATCTTAATAATAATAATAACAACAATAATATCTAATAATATGCAAATATATACAAAAATATCATTTTTGTATATATAGTGTATTGTTGTTATGCAATATGTTTATGTATTAAATGTATATATAATTATATTATCCATAATTATATATATATAATATATATATATATTAAACAATAAAATTACCATCATAATATATATTTTTTTATTATGATGATAAAAATTAATAAAATAAATAAATAGTTATTTATAATTTTTTTTAAAAAATAATTTTCAATTTTTATTAAATGCAAATATTAACACACACACATTTTTATTATTGATTAATAAATTAGATGATTTGTTTTTAACAATTATACAATTAATTAATTAACAATAATAATAATAATATTTAATAGTAATAATAATAATAATAATACTAAATTATGTAAAGATTTAGGTATTATTATTATTATTATTACTATTATTAGATACCATTATAAACATTAATCTTTTTTTGTTGATTATAATTATAATAAATAGACATAAATTTAATATCCAAATAATAATCAAACTGTTTAACATAATTAACAAACAAATATTAATTATTAATTATTATATAATTGTCCTCTAAATTAATTTTTTTTTAAAAATTAGATTATTATTAATCATTTTTTTAAATTATTGATTTTTTTTGTTTTTGTCTTTTATAATAATGATATAAATAAATTATAAAAAACAATAATTAAAATATTGAAACACAAATATTACAAAGATGAATATTTAATAATAATAATAATAGCTATAAATTTATAACTTATAAATAATGATGACGAGGAGTAAATAAAAAATGTTAAATATATTTATAATTTTTATATAATAATATTAATAATAATATCAAAATAAGTCAACAAAATAGCAAATAAACAAACAAATAAAGTCTATACTATACTAAACTATAATAAAAATGTGTGTGTGAATTAGTGTACAATTGTATGAATGAAAAAAAAACAGTTTTAACAAATATATAAATATATATATATTATATATAATTATTATTATTTATAACTAATTTATTAAACGGTAAGTAATTATTAAACTATGTTTAAAAAATTATTTTATGTTTTTTTAATAGTGTTTAAAACATTAGTAGCATTAATAATAGTAATATTATTAGTATTAGTATTAGCATTATTACAGTATAAATTGTTTACGATATTATATATATTAATAAATCGTATTAATAATAACACTATTAACTAATTAATGTCAGAAAAAAAACAAAACAAAATCAAATCAAATAATTATTAATTTAAAAAAAAAATTAATATATTATATAATAATAATGTCGTAAACAGTTTGTATAGTATCAAAAAAATTGTCAGTAATTAACACACACTCATAGGAGTCGTCGACATATTATCGATGCATAAACAATACCTATACTAAAGGTAGTGCACACCTACATACCCTATACATACACACATTCATACCGTTCCTCTGTCTCTCTCTCTCAATATTGTCCTCACATTTGACACTTAAGCACTTTGACCATAACAATAGCTCGTTGGGCGGCAATTTGCATGGCCTGTTCGGTACTAACAGAACTGTTACCCCACGAGACAAACACTGGCAACCGGCGGGTCAGTGCCGCTGAGTTTCGTTTCACTTGCAACAGACACTTGAACCGATTGGTTAGTTTGTTGTTGTTGTTGTTAGTGTTTGCCGACGATGTAGTCGACGATGACTGTGTCGAGTCGTCGGTAATTGTTATATAATTGGCAAAACAGTTAAGTTTTTCGGCAATCAGATTCAATCGGAGACAATAATCAGTATCTTTGGCTTCAAATAGTTTTTCCAGTGATTGTAATTCAAGACTTTCGACAAAATCAATGTACTCTTTGCACTCTTTTTGTTGATCAATATTCGGATCAATTGTCTGCTGTGAGATGTGTTTGCATTTCTTTCAACCACAACAACGACAACGTCGACGACGACAACCGGGGAAACAAATAATACAAGAATTAGTGCCAAAAAAATAATAATAAAAAAAAATAAATAATTACTTTCTTCTGCTGGGAATTGTTGGTCGGTATTAGCGAATAGTCTCTCTGTTGCAACAGTTTGGTCACCTCTTCGGCCGCCCGACGTTTGGCCATCTGTTTGGTTTTGCCGATAGCATTGGCAGCAATCGGTTCAGAGCCGGCTGTCAACAATATCTGACATCTGAACGTAAATATCGGGTCGTGACACGAACCCATTCGGGCCATTTCATCGTAGGTGGGCATCGGTAGGCCGTGTTTGGCGCACAGCTCTTGCAATAAGGAAACGGCACTCTTGTCGTTAGTACCGCTGTTATTGTCACCGCCAATCGTAGCCGCAGCCATAGCCGCAGTCATGCCGTCGATCGTAGTCAGCGGTGGCGAGTAGTTGTTGCTATTGTTGTAGTGGTGGTCACCACCGATACTGTTGCCGCCGCTGCCGTCCTTTTGATGGCCAGCAGCGATGATCACTTGCGAGGTCGGGCCAGTTGGTCCGCAACAACACTTGTGACAACCAGTGGTGGTCATTAGCGCCGATATCGACGAATAACGTCTATTATTATCGTTGTTGTTGTCTTCGGCGGCGGCGGTGTTGGTGTTGGTGTTGTTGTCGCCGCTGATTGTGTCCATTCAATGGTAGATGACTTTCGGCTAAATATTTGTTACTATTATTACAGTAATAATAATAATAATAACGCAATACTTATACAGTTGTGTAATACTATAGCTAATAGTTATTATTATTACTGTATTAATGAAAATAGAAATCAAAATAATAATAAAATTCAATTCAATAATATGTTTATTATTATTAGTATTAATACAGTATTAGTAATAAATAACGTCAACAATAACACCAAAAAAAAAATAGAAAGTAGAGTAAACAGTAGTATTTAAAAAAAACCCGTAACCAAACCGCCAAAAAAAAAGTTTTTATTTTTTATTTTTAAAAATTAATTAATAACATAAATATTATTATTTTATTTTATTTTTTTTATTAATTAAATTCATACAATTGAATTAATTAGGAATACATGTATATATTTCTAGAAAAAATAATTAAAATAAAATCTATTTAAAAAATAATACATAAATTTCGGTTTGGTTTTATTTTCAACAACAACAACAAAACTATTATTTCAAAATCTATTTTTGTACATTAAATCAAATACATAAATATGTCGTCATATATGGCATTATATTATATCCAAAAAACAACGTATTATTGTATTATTAATAATAATATCATATATTTTTAAGCATTAAATTTCTATTACAGTTTTAAAACGTAATCTAAATGTTTACTGTAAATCACTTTTACTGTACATTTATTTTATAATACTTTAATAGTTGTTATTATTACACATTGAATATATTGAATGACATATTAATTGTTTATTTAATTTATTTTATTATATTATAATTTCAATGGGATTTCACTTTTAGTTTTTTTTTTGTTGAATGTTATTATAATTATAACACAAAAAAATTAAATTGAATTTTGAATCAAAACAATTGAAACCGATTTTTTTTGGCCACAATTTTGAAGATTTTTTTTGTTTGTTTGGTTTCATCGGTAAAGTGTCGGTTCAATTGGTGGTCAAACAAACAAACCAAACAACATTACCGACGACTGTGGGCGACAACAATCAGTTAGACACAAATGTTGGACAACTTTTTGGGCAACGTTTTTGGCCGAAGCAAAAAATCGTCGACCAATGTATCGGCGACGGCGACGACGACAGCAACGGCGGCAACAACAGGGACCACTACGCACGCAATGGCCAATAACGGCAACTACGGTAGCGATGACTTTATTATGGTCGGCAGCGGATTCAATGATACCTTTGGCGGCGGCGTAGAAGACCCGACAGCCGCCAGGAGATCGCTTTACCCGACCGTCGGCGGGACACTACTGACACAAGAGGTTTGTTGTTGTTGTTGTTGATGTCTTTATTATCATCTGATTGATTGATAAATAGTTTTTTATTAATCTCTGATCTTTACTTTTAGATGTTTGTGCCAAATAACAACTCATTTCATCCGTCGTCGTCCTCGTCGGCGACGACAACAACGCCGATCGCCAGTGGCCATCAATCATCGTATATTTCGCCAATTGATAACATACCGTTTACCACAACCTACGGCGGCTCCTGTGGTTTTGAAAGTGTCGGCGGCGTTTATGATCCGCAAAACTGGCGATCGCTGGCCAAATCGTTTGCCACTATCGACCGTATTCAACAATACTTGTCCACTTCGAGCCAATCGGAGTATAGTTTTCATTTGGAGAACAATATCTTAAGCGAATCGCTTCTACAGCAGCCGTAGAGAGAGAGAGACGAGAGACAGATTCTTCTTCTTCAGATGTGTCGGTGTTTTGTGTGGATGTGTTGTTCACCCACTCATTCAATTCATCGACGGTTGAAGAATAGGAAGAATAAGAAGAATAACAAAACGATTTAAAAGACAATTATATATTGAATTAAATTTTAATATGTTTTACGCCAACGATTTTTTTTGTGTCATATATATATGATATTGTTTGTCATTTTTTCAGACAATTTTGTGTTTTGATTGATTTTTTTTCATCCAAGAGTTATATAGTTAACAATTCATTAAACATTATGTCTATCTATAGTGTAGTGTCGACTACTCTACTCTACTCTACTATTAATGAGTTTAGTTTGAATTTGAATTACAAAAACAAAACAGAAAGTTATTTTACAAGTTTTACGATTATTATATAATTATTTTCACTATTTATTTCATAATTTAATTATAAATTGAAAATTATTAATATATTAATATTATTATTATTTGATTACCCCACTTTGATTCATGATATTATATTTACTGGTATAATATGTTTTTGTTTGTTTGTTTGTTGGTTTGAATAATTGAATGAAACTAATTATTACCGTAGACTTCAATATTTAACAGACAATCAATTGATTATTATTTATGATTATAAATATTAATATATATATATATATATGATATATACTGTATATCTTATAATTTTTTTTATGTTTGTTTTTCATTTGATTTTTGTGTGTGTTTTTCTCTTATGATTCAAAATTCATATCAAGTTTTAAGTTTTATATGATATACCGGTATCTCTAATATTTATATATATATATATATATATATATATATATATATTAAATACTGTAAATATGATATGAGATTTCTAGCTTTAAATTTATATATAAAATTAATTAATTTCGCTAATAATATAAAATTGTTTTACTTTATTTACCCTGTACAATATAATTATCATTTTAATTTAAATTAAAAAAAAACAAAATATATAATGTATTTCACTGATTGATTAATAATGTTTGAATATCATAAATAAATTTAGATGATTGGATAATAATAATGATAATAATAAATTATAACTAACTAATAAATTATTAATAAAATTTATTTCTATATATATATTTATTTATTTATTTATCCTAAATTTTTCCTTGATAATTATAATAATAGTTAATGTTATTTAAATTTTATAATTATAAATATATTATTATTATTATTTTTAAAAAAAAACCAGTATTATTATTATTATTATTTAATATTACAAAACGTATGGGAAATGATGTACTAATAATAATGTACTTAAAAAATAAAATTCAAACAATGATTCACTAATGTATTGCTATCTGTTTAATACACTTTAAAACTACTACTATATATGTATTTACTAAAAAAAAATTACATAACATTTGATAAAAAAAAACACATTATATATATATTTTTCATATCATTAACAAGTATTTCATATAAGATATAAACATTATATACTATAATACTGTATTACAATAAAAATAAATAATTAATAAAAAATAATAATAAATGAGTTATCATTTAAAACAAAAGTCTCATAAATTAAAGGTAATAAATGTTTAAATGATTAATAAATAATAATACTTACAAAAAAATCCAACACTTTTATAGATAAAGAAAAAAGATATTTTTTTTATTAAATATTACTAAATTTTTTTTATATAAAAAAGTAATTTTTAAAAATTATTTGGTTTTAATTAATATTTTTGTTTCGATAAATTTATTTTATTGCTGATTTTTTATTTGTTTTATTTTTTCAATGTTCAACATTATTATTATTATTATTATTATCAATTACATTTACATTTACAATTTGTTGTTGTTGAAAATATTAAATTTAACAAATAGTTTTTAATTTTATAATTTTTTTTAGTAAAAAAATTATATAATTATAATTACAATACAATATATTCTATTATATTATATTTCTATCATAAATCTAAATTAATTGATTAACAAACAAACAAATAGATACAAAAAAAAATTTGTATTATAAATACATATATTTTAATAATATTATTATTGTTAAAAAATATATATAGTTTTGTTTTGCTTTATTTGTTGTTGTGTGAAATAAATTTATAATTTTTCATATATTTTTTAATTATTATAATATAATAAAACCTAATGACTGTAGTGGGAATGTACTGTATTTTTATATATATTTATATAGATATACAATATATATAAAATAACATTACTAATAATTGTGTATTACTTAATAACTATTATATAATAATATTTTTTTAATAATTTTTATAATAGATTTTTTTTTAATAAAAAATTTCTCTTTCTATAATGATATGAAAATTAAGTTTTTTTTATATAGAAATAAATACTGTCAGTACCTGTATATATATATATATATATATATATATATATATTTGAGATCTACAAAGTAATTAATTAATTATTTATTTATAAATTTTAATAATAATAATAATTTTTATAAATCTACTATTAACGCTAATCTATTATTAATAATAATATATTTATATTAATTTTATATAAGATTTTTTTTATAATTATGTTTTCCAATCAATCAGATATACTGTTTATATATATATCTTAACCGATAATATTGATAATAGTTTATTAGATATATATATATATATATATTTATCTCATTTTTTAGTTGTTTTAATGATTGATTGATTATATGATCAGTTATTTATGACTCTCTCTCTCTCTCTCTCTCACTCACTCACTCAATGATAACTAACTTTATCACTCACTCACTTAATGAAGCAATTAAGCAATTGTTTGTGCGATTATTAAATTATTTGTTTGTTTGTTATTTTTTGAGTATAAAAAGTTGATAATAAAAAAATAGTCACAATTCTAAATCAATTGAAAATAATGATAATAAAAAAAATAATAATATAAGTATATATATATATATATCAAAGTTACTCTCTTTCTCTCTCTCTCTCTCTCTCTCTTTAAGGGAAATTCATCAAAATCACAACAACAACAACAATACCAGTAATAATAATCACTGACTGATAATCAGTTTAACATCACATTATAAATATATACCACTTGTTTTGTTTGTTTGTTTGTTTTTGTCAAATAAGTAAAAATTTTAGTATTATATATACAAAAAATTTTAGTAAAAAACCTACCCGTTCATTATTATTATTATTATTATCATCATCATAGATATAATATATATATACTTATATATTGAATTTTTTTTTTAAATAAAAAAAACGGTGCGATTATGACAGTGCGACTATCATGTTTGAAAATAAAGTTTTTTTTGGGTGTGTTTTTTCAAATAGTTTTTTGTTTGTTTGTTATTATTTTCAATGACTTTGTTTGATTAGGCATTCAATTTTCAAGTATATACCGGTAATTATTATCATTTTTTTGTTGTTTGTTTATCAATCGAGAGATTTTTTTAATGGATGTGTTGTTTTTGGGTGTGTTTTTATTTTGTTGTTAATTATAACCATTCATCAAAAAATACCGGTATATTCACTACTCATATATATATCTCCAAAAAAAAGACTAAATATAATCACTAATAATAAAAAATAAATATCTAAAGGACACAATAAATTTATATTATAAAACAATAATAAAATGATTGATTTGTTTGTTTTAAAAAAAAAATTGTTGTGTATGAATGTGTCCTATTTTTTTTATCTCTCTCTTTATATATATAAATTTAAATATAAATTTGTGGGTTAAATATTATCTCTCTCTCTCTCTCTCTGTTTGTTTTTATCAAATTTTTATCAATATATTGTGTGTTTATCTAAATATACAATACATTTATATCATATAAATATATATATATATATATATATATATATATATATATATATATGAAACACTAACAACTTTTTATTTTATATATATATATAGACGTATAAATCATATATATATTTATCATATATATTGATATTTTATTTGTTGTCTGTGTGTTATTGTTTTGTTTTTTTTAACTTTTTCGGTAATTAATCCGATTCTTATGGTAATCGGCAATCGTTAGATCGTTGTTATTGGGCTTTAAAATCGGCAAAAATGCCGAACTCCTGCTCGGAAGCAATACAAAACCGGCCGATGATGACGGCTGTTGAGGACGACAGTTGTTGGCTGTGGCGGCCGACGACGGGTGATCACTGTTGTTCATCATCATCATCATCATTGGATTGTAGTATCTGATCAACAACAACAACAACAACAACAAAATAGTATCAATCAATCAATCAATAGATAATTGTATAATAATACTGCAGTCGATCCACACACACACACACACACATCCATTTCCTTCTCCGAGAACATACATACCTATCATCCGATTCGTTGACAATTTTAATCTTTTCGCAGCCGTCGGGCGGCTCGCGGGTCAAAAACTTATTTATTTTCGGACTCATCGAGTAATTACTGCTATTATTATTATTATTATGATTATTATTATAATAATTATTTTGATGGTTTTGCAAATCGTTTGTATCGTTAGTCGATGATATCAGTTCTGTGTTTTAAAAATATAAAAATAAAATTATTATTTATTTTCGTATTATTAATTAAGCAGTTAAAAAAAAAAGTTTGAAAAACAATTTTTTTTATAGAAATAACAAAAATAGTTTTTTAAAAAAGACATTATCATTGATAGACACACACTATACCAGTGCCAGTGTGTGTGTGTGTGTGTGTGTGTATTGCATACCAGTGTTAAAAATAGGTGACTCCGATTGACTGATATCGCTGCTATCATCGCCACTACTTGGAACGCAATTAGCTTTTCTAGTCTTAATTGCCAACAATTCAAATACCGGTGCCCGATGTCCTTCGGGTATTTTATCGCACATCAATTGACCCAATTGGCTGTCCAATGAGCCACCGCCTCCGCCGCCGCCACCATCGACCATACCTTTAAGCACTAGGTTCTCGATTTCCTTTAAAAAAATAATAATAATTATTATTTTAAAAAAATTGTAAATCAATTAAACCATTGGAAACTATAAATATATAAAAAACAATTACGAGATTAAGCTCTTCGACACTGTTAGCTGAACGGCTACTGTCTATGCATAGCTTAGTCGGTATAGCTATGGGACCGGATATAGTAGTAGTAGTGTTGGCGGCTGTCAAACATTTGGTCGGACTGACACCCGAAGCTATCAACAATTGACGTTTTTTCAATGAATTATCGGCAAATTTCGTAATCGATTGTGTACTCTGATCGGCCACAACAACAACGGCCCGTTGGTGGTGATGGTGTTGTTGTTGTTGTTGCTGCTCATGTAGTCGACATTTTTGTACTGACTGTCCTCCCATAAATAGATATTAATAATAATAAATAAATAAATTAAAAAAATATAATTAACAAAAACCTCAGATTTATGCCATTTGTTTGTCGGGTCGTCGGCTAATAATTTCTCAGATTCTTGCCATTCATCGGGAGTCTAGTTTTAAAAATTAAGATAATAATAATAATAATTATTATTATTATATTAATAATAAACTATATGGTAAACAATTTAATATGTTTAACGGTAGTAATTTTAATCTGGATAAAACATCAACAACCTTGATAACTCAATTTAATTTGTTTTTAAAAATAAATATTTTATACAGTATAATTTGTACATAAATATCCAGGTTTATCCTGGATATATTTAGGGGGAAAAATCAATAATAGATATGGGGGGATACTATGTAGTAATGTTTGTGCTATATTATCAACATTATAAAAAATAATTACCAAGTTAATCAACGTTATATAAATATATAGTAATACTATATATATACAGTATATATAATACTATAATATTATAATTAAATACATTTTTTAAATATAAACTATGATTTTATAATAATAATAATAACATTGGATTAAACTTGGAATTTATTGCCAAATAATATTTTACTGCTATATTATAGGCAATAAAATCAAAGTTTAATCGATATTCAATTTAATATATATATATAAAATATATATAATATAACTCATAATAGTATCAATTAATAGATATATATTATCAATTTATTTTTCAATATAAATATTTTTGTTTCATATGAATTATTAGCGATTAAATACTGTTTACGTATGCATGTACTGTACTGTATGTATGTGTGTCTGTGTATAAAATAATTGTATAAATTAAATGAAAAAAAAGTTGTTTAATATAATTATTTCATAATAATAATAATAAATTTATAATAATAATAATTGTAAACAAAACACAAAAATCAAAAACAGCTGTTAAATAGCAAAAAATATAAAATATAAAGAAAATAAAATATTACTTATTTAGTCAGTCTATTATTATTAATATTATTATTATTATTATTATTATTATTATTATTATTATTATTATTATTATTATTATTATTATATTCTTATCCTAATAACATAATACTGTATTAATAATAATGTTATTTCATTAAAGCCCTATAAATATCTTATCCACTTATATAACAAAAAATAACTTAATGTATGATATAATGTATAATAATAATAACACATATGACATATCACACCATATATATACCGGTATATATATATATTGTATTTATATAATATCACCCATTATTATATTATATAACATATATGCCATATAAGTAGTATATATATATATATATATATATATATATATATATATATAACGTATATACTGTGTGTGTTATGCAATAGACATTTCATTTTGTTGATGATAGAGATATATACTACCCCTACAGTAGTCATGTAATAAAATATTGTATATTTCAGTATACCTAATCTTAGGGAATGGTATGTCTATTAAAAGTAAAATGAGAAAACACATACACACACACACACACACGTACACATACATAGATACGTACATATAGATAGTCGCCCGACTCAATCGGCTACTAATCCATAAGCCAACTAAACACACACAAAAAAAACTAACTAACTCTCGACTACTAATTAATTGAAAACATTTATTGATAAATAGCTAATCTAATTATTAATAGTATAGAGATCTAAGATAGAGAGATCGCTGATGATTATATGGCCACCCGATATGGCCACACAACAGTCAAGCGACATGATTGGTAGGGGAAATACTATCCGAGGGTATTAAACACGGACTGATTGATTGAATAGATGATAGATAATGAGCTAATCCTAGTTTGGCCAACACATACACACCCGTCCCGATAGATAAAGAGTGAGTGTATCGCTACTATTACTACTACTACTACTACTACTAACTTGAGTGTATCGATCGCTTCTCGGTAGTAGTCCGTGATTGGCGGTCGCCACCATTAGTGACAGGCCGATCGGCGACGTTGTTCCGCTGCCGCCGCCGCTGCTGTGATATGCATCTGTCATCAGTACCGACTCGGCACTGGTCGACCGTCTTAACAATGCAGCCGTCGCCGATAGAGGACGACCATAGCCGCCACTGATCATCATTGGTGTTGTTGTCGATGCCGTCGTTTGTCGTGCTATACAATGATGTTTAGACAAACAAACAAACAGTTAAACAGTTGATGTCATGTCTATATAGTATAGACAAAGAGGTCTCTATCAGTCAATTACCGTCATTATAGCCATTACACTGGCCATCGGCTGCCGTACGCTGATTATATCGGGATTGTTGTTGTTGTTGGTCAGCAGCCGTTGTTTTGTTTGTCTCAATCATACTATTGTTATGTCTTATTGATTGATTGATTGATGTCACTGATGGAAGTACTACTACTACTACTACAACAACAACTACTACTACTTCTAGTTATTTGTGTGATTTGGATGACAATCTCGTTGTGTGTGTGTGTGTGTGTCCTCTGAATACTAGCCGTATGTGACCTCCGATCCGATAGTCTTGACCTCTGAAATGATGAGACGGTTACCGACGGTTAAGTTTTGTCGACACTTATTGATTGAATGATCTAATGGTATATAAAAAATGTTATTAAAAAATATTGTAGTGTTTTATATGATATACTGTTTAGTATAGTGTTTATAATGTATTGTATACACAGTGTAGAGACTAAATGGCAACACAATTATTATTATTATTATTTAAATATACAGTATATAATCGGTTAGAAGTAAAAAACTAAAATACAGTACACATACAGCAAAAAAAAACATATGATGTGATGTACCACAGCTCGGATATATATATACACACACAAAAATTAGGTGTTGTTCTTAGCAATAATAATGTTTATATAAAATATTATTATTTTTTTAAATAATAAGACAACATACATACATACACACACATATACACACACATAGATATATAACATACATATATATACACACACACATACATACATACACACACATACATATACATACATACACATATACATACACACATACATACATACATACACACACATACATATACATACATACACATATACATACACACATACATACATACATACACATACACACATATACATACATTTAAATGAATCATAACTTTTGGGATAAAACTTTCTAATTTTTAATGCATTCAATGCATAAATATAAGATTGTTATTATTTTTATTATTATTATGCTTTTTAAAATATATTTTATATTGTATAATGTTAAAACTAATATCTAAATAAATTTTTTTTTTATAAATTTGATCAACAACTTTGTGTGTATGTTATTTTTATTTAAAAAAAATAATAAAAGTTATATATTTAAATTTTAACCCATTATCCTAGCTTAGATATTATGTAGTGTACAGTGAGTGTTGAAATACTTATATATCAAATGAGGAGTTATTTAATTTTTATATAGGCTTTACTGTACTGTACTGTATGTACAGTATTATGAGCTATACTGTACAGTGACTTTGGCAATGAAATATTAATTTATAGCCAATCATCGATTGAGACCACACCCACCAGCCATCAATCGATAGCCAATCATGAGTCGTCTATTGAAAAATATGTCCACGTGTTTATATCTATGTTAACTATTGGCGCCAACATTTGAAAAATTATTTTTTTACCCCTTAATATATACATATACTACCCCATTATTAACCAACTCATTCACCCACTCCCACCCCCACCCCACCACCTTTAATATATAAAATAAAATAACAACAATAACAACAAAAAATTAATAAAATTTAGCAAGCACCAAAATTTAACAAATTATTAGTTTATTGTTATTATTATTATTATTCTATAGACTTTATAATATAGACAATAAATTATTTTTGAGACTAGCACCTAGATAAATGTGATGTTATTTTGTTTTTTATTACCCTGATCATATAATATATATATATATATTATACATGACACTTTAATAATTTATCAATAATACGTTTATTTGTTGTTATTAATGAAAATATTAATAATTTTATTTTTTTGTGTATAAAAAATAACGAGTATATAATAATTTAGTATAAATTATACGGTATATATATATATATATATTGTGTGTGTGTGTGTGTCACTAAACTGTACTGGGTCTATTGTTTTTGAATATAATTATTATACACTCTATAACTTATAATAAAGTGACAATAATTTTTTAAAGAGTATAAACTCCTATTTATAGTTAAAACTTTTTAAAAAAAACAGTTTATATAATACCAGTATATTATATAATATATGATATATTATTTGATATTTTGAATAAATTTTTCAAAATAATAGGTATTTTTTTATAATTATTTTGTGATATACTGTGTATAATAGTATTTATTTATTTTTTTCAAAATTTTTTTATTGATCATTTAATTCAATAAAATAAATTTACATTTATTATTATTATTATTATTAAATTAAATCTTACATATGTATATATATTCATAATTTTTTAACTTTTTGTTAATTGTTTGTTTGATAAATTTATTTAATTAATTATAATAACCATTTTTTCAATATATATATATATCATAAATATTTTATCAATTTTTTTTTAATTTATAATTTGAGACATAAATTGCAACATTTTTTCATATACAGTATATATATAAAGTTATATATAGCGTAATCGATTAAAATTGAAATTTTAATTAAATTATTAATTAATTAATATAATTAATATTACAAACTAAATAATTGATTGTGAATACAGTGTGTGTGTGTGTGTGTGTGTGTGAATAAATTGAGAGAAACTAAATTGTTTTATATATATAAAAAAAAATATTAACTAAATCAACAATAACAAAAATATATATATATATATATAATAGAGATTATAATCACAGCATTTTTTTGAAAAAAAATATTTATATTGAAAGTGTTATAACTTTTTTTTGTTGTTGAGTTATATCAAAATTAAAATAAAATTAGTAGTATTTTTTTGAACTATTTTAGCTTACAATTTAATATTATTGATAATAATAATAATAATAGTAATAATTATTTTTTTTTTGTTAAAAAACATGATTATCACTATTATTATTATTATTATTAGCATCATTAGCATCATTAGCATCATTAGCATATTATCATTATTTTTTTTAAAAAAAGTATATATGATATATAAATTGTAATTAAAATAAATGGTAATTTATATATCGATATATACAAGTGTATATTGACGTCAATTTATATATAATATATATATCAATGTGTGTACTGTATATATATATATGTGTGTTTAACAAAAATAACATTTAATTTTTTTTAAAACATTTAATCATTATCTCTATTAATAATATATATATATATATATATATTGTACTTATTATTAAATTTGTTTTATTTATTTATTAATTACGATAATAATAATAATAATTATTATTAGTTTAATGATAACAATTTTCTATGTATACCGATGTACAATAATTACTATCACTAAAAAAATAATAGTAAAATATGTGTGTATTCAAAATCATTAAATCAATTTTTTATGATAAAAAAACTACAGTAAGCGGTAAAAAAACAAACAAACAATTATTTGTTTAACAAAATTATTTCATTTAAAAAAAACAAATTAAAAAATTTTATGATATTATTTTTTTCACGAAAAAAAACAACACAAGTATCTATTGTATCAATAATAATAATAATAATAATAATAATAATAATAAAAGAGCAAACATTTCATTATTTTGTTTTATATAAATTATAATTAAATTAAATTTTTAAAAAAATTGAAAAATACGGTACTATTACGGTAATTATGTTAAATACTAAATAAAAAAAATTACAACAACTACGGTACTACTACTACTACAGCTACTACAACAACAACACTACTACAACTCATATCACCTCTAGATTGGTGTGTGTGTGTGTGTGTGTAACAGTGTGTGAGTTTGTTATGATTGTTGCGATGATAACGATGCTGATGATGATGATGATGATGACAAGTATTGGTCAATAATAGTGCCAAACATATTGTATAGCTCTTTGATTAGACTGAGACGCATGGGTACGTTGACCACTGGATCGTCGTACGATTCAATGTCGTCGATGGCATCCATGGGTACTGTTTGGATACCTGTTTCTCTAGTCTCCAAAATGTGCGACGATTCGGGCATTTCCTGCGAACAGGGAATATCTTCAAACGATGGCAATGGCTCCGATGGACAGTCATTGTCGTCGTCCTCCTCCTCTTCAATGTCCTCTTGACGTCGTCGTGAAGATGACGACAATTCGTCGTTCGATGATGTGATAGCACAGGCCTACCGGCGGTACAACAAAAAAAATTAAATAATAAATATATATATAATTACCGGGAAATAATCCCTCGAAAAAAAATCATATAAAGATATACCGTTGCATATGAATTGTTTGTAAACTTTTGAGTGAGAAGCTGGTCGTCGTAGTGGTGATTGTTGTCATCGTTGTCGACATCCATTGACTTTGAGTGCCGATAGTCATCGGTGGTTATGTTGCTATTGTTGTTGGTAGTGGTGGTGGTGGTGCTGCTGCTAGTAGTTGTAGTAGTAGTAGTATTGTTGTTATCAGTAATGTCATCCACAACAGCAAATTGTGGTATTTTTTGAGTATAAAATACAGTATCACTGCTCTGGGAGTCGCACGAGTCGTCAATGGATGAGTTAAACTCTTTATTATCGAAAGTACTATTTTGATGGACCAAATGGTTGCGTCGTTTATCGTTAATATCTGTCGGCACAACAACAACATTATCATTATCGTTGTTGTCGTTACCATTGATAATATCGTTGACATTATTATTACTATTATTCTCATTACTACTAATACTGCTATCAATTTTGTTATCATTATTAATATTATTATTAGTCTTATTATTATTGTTTATAATGTCATCGGATGACTGAATCAAATCAGTTAACGGCTGAACGCCATAGGAATGTCCGCCGCCGCCAATGGGTGACGGCGACAGCCGAAACTCTAGCTTAGAGCTGACCACTGGTTCGGCAAACAATACTTTCTTTTTTTTCGATTTCGGTTCACTGGTCGGCGACGATTGTAGGGCATGTTTACGCAAAATACTAGTCAATTGACGCAAACTACTCGAATCAAACGATGCCGAAGAAGATGAAGAATTGGCGGCCAAAATCTGTGGACTTCTTTCCGTTTCTTGTCTGTTGGTTTCGAATCGTTGTTTGGCCGCCCGTAGAAAAGCCGATCCCCGACTAAACGGCGAATTACGTATACGCTTATGATTTGGCGGACTATTGAACAAAACGTCTTTATTATCGTCTTTAATATCGCTAAGACTTTTAATGGCCATTACTGGTGACGATTGCGTCGCCGATGACGACGAAGACGATGCTAACCAATCATCGTTGCTATTACTGTTGCTGTTGTTGACCGCAAGTCTATCACAAATACTATTATTATTAGTATTATTATTATTACTACTACTAGTCTTCATAGCCTTCTTGAATATGGCCATCGCTCGCGGCGACGATGTAGTGGTGGTCACACACATTGATGTTTGTCTACGGAGACGATTGCCGCCGCCGTTTGTCATAGTACTCGACATCATAGTGTCCATTGATTCGTCGTCGGCGACGGCAGACATCTGACTGTCGGCCACTTCTTCGACGGCCATATCGATAAACTCTTGCGACGGTTCAGGTGTTGCTTCGGGCGACGATTCGGCAACCATTACTTCGTCCAATTCGGGATTTGTGTCCAAATCTGTATCGGATTCGGCCGACGATTGCGACGATACCGACGACGACGTCGACGAACTGGCCATCATTGGTGGCCGACCGACGGCTGCGGCAGTGGTCGACATTGTCGTTGTCATTGTTTGCGACTTATTTATTATCGGACTTTCAAGTAGCTGTTTGATGGCCAACGATGTTGTCGATAGTGTATCGGCAGCGGCTGCGGCCACAGCAGCAGCCGATGACGGTGTTGTCGATACTGTACTATCGGTGGTAACGACGGCAATGACGGCTGAATTCAAACAGATCATCACTTCTTCTTATTATTATTCTTCGGGAGTGTTTAGACAACAACAAAATTTTTGGCCACAATTTGTATGTTTTGTACAGAAAAACACAACAAAAACAACAATAAAAAAAACTTATTATTATTTATATTTTGAGTGGTATTTAAAAAAACACAATTAAATTGTTTTATTAATTAATATATGATTTTTTTGTTGTCTATTATTATTATTATTAAATATATTTTTAATGTCAAATGTTTTTAATGGCTTTATATATATATATGATATGTGAGTGTATTATTAAATATCATAAATATTAATGTATTTTATTTTTTTTTTATAAGTTTAGTTAGTTATACACACATAGAGATAGAGAGAGAGAGAGTGTATGTAAATATCAATACATTTATTATATATATATTTTATGTTTACAATACACACACATATAAGTAATAGCTTAACGTTTTACTGAAACACACATTTAATGCCAAAGTTTATGTGTATTATATTATTATTATATTTTTACAGTACATGTAATACTGTATTAATATGTATGCAATTGAGCGCTAAAATAAATACATTGATGACAACCCCCCCCTCCCCCGCTCATTGATAACGTACGCCCAATAATGTTAGACCCATTGTTGCCCCCCATCCCCCCCACACACACACACACACACCACATATAGTTGTAAACTTATTTATTTTATTTTATTTTTTTTAGATAAAAAGGTCAAGTAATGTGTAACGCTATTTGTTGATGACTCTCAGGTGCGGGGGTTGGTTGAGGGGGGGGGTTGGGATGGTATCCGTAAATATAATACGTATTTTCATTGTATTACATATTAAATACTGTATATTGTTGTTGTTGTTGACGTTATTTATTAGTTGTTAAATGTATTAAAAAAATTATTGTACCAAATACATACTACTACATACTACTGTATAATTTATAGAGTGACCAAAAATTTTAATATTTATATGTATGTAAAATATTACATGGCTTGGGGTCAAAGGTTAAAAATTTATTATAAGTAATTTTTAAATTTTAATATATTTTAAACTGTGTAACCAAAAATTTATGTTTAGAATAGTTTTAAGTTATGTTTAGAATAGTTTTAAGTTATGTTTAGAATAGTTTTAAGTTATGTTTAGAATAGTTTTAAGTTATGTTTAGAATAGTTTTAAGTTATGTTTAGAATAGTTTTAAGTTATGTTTAGAATAGTTTTAAGTTATGTTTAGAATAGTTTTAAGTTATGTTTAGAATAGTTTTAAGTTATGTTTAGAATAGTTTTAAGTTATGTTTAGAATAGTTTTAAGTTATGTTTAGAATAGTTTTAAGTTATGTTTAGAATAGTTTTAAGTTATGTTTAGAATAGTTTTAAGTTATGTTTACAATAGTTTTAAGTTATGTTTAGAATAGTTTTAAGTTATGTTTACAATAGGTTTAAGTTATGTTTAGGTTTAGGTTTAGGTTTAGGTTTAGGTTTAGGTTATGTTTAGTTTAGGTTTAATTATTATATATATATATATTTTTAAACAATTTTTTATTTAAAAAACAAAAGTTTCGGTCACTCTATAATAGACTATATAGTACTCTAAATAAATAAATATAAATATCATAACATATGACGTCATTAATATCACATCAGTTGCCATTCAATTGTAATAATAATAATAAACTAATTGATTGATTGATTGATTGATTGATTGATTGATTGATTGATTGATTGATTGATTGATTAATGAGTTGACTGTTTCGGTAATCAAACGACCGATTGTTTGCCGACCAAACTAACCGATCGACCGACTGACTGACCGCACGACATGACCGCTCAGCTCAAGACGTTTTCCGTTGTATCCGATCTGAAAGGATTGCGTCAAATACTGGTTCCCGACTACCAGACCATTCAGGAGAGAAACCGAGGTTTGTCTACGAGACCCGACCCGACCCTCACTCCCGATCGGTCCCTTAGTCTTAGTCTCTTTTTCCGACCACCCGTATAGATGACGATTACGACAACCGCTGGGACTGGGAGACCACCGATGTGTTGGCCGAGTCGTCGTCGTCCGCAACTACAGATGGATCGGCCGATTGGATGCAACGTCTGATGTCGTCGTCGGTAACTATAAGTCCGTACTCGGATCTGATGGCATTTGCCAAAAGCAGTTATCTGGCCGTTTACCGACTCAAGTCGCCACCACAACCACAAACGCTACAACCAATGGCCACAACCGACGCCGCCACAACCAGTGATAATCAATCGGCGCCCGAATTACATCTCTATTTTGAGACACAGCTTACCGACGGACAAAATTTTTCCGAAACCATCACTAGTCTACTATTGGTACCCATAGTATCGCAACAGAAATCATCGGTTGCTCTCTACGACTGGACAGCCATTGTCATTGGATTTTCGTCCGGCTATTTTCGGGTCTATACCGAAAACGGTAAACTATTGTTGAGTCAGTGTTTCCACGACGAACCTGTTATGGACATCAAATGTCAGACATTTCGGCCAAACAGTCCATCAGATAGCGACCAATTGCTTGTCGTCTACAAGACATCGGTGGTCATCATTGATGGCTTCAGTCTCTATCAGACATTGCGTTTGTGTCGGACCCGATTGGCAAAGAATCAGTCTCTTGTAGTAGCCGTCGACGGCTGGAACAGTGATCCAACATTGACTTTCAACTACAAAAAGTGGCGATTAGACGACGGCAAAGTGATCAACGATTGTCAATCGTGCGGATCCAATACGCACACCTATTTAGATAATTTGATGACCATATCGCTGAACAAGGGTCCAAATGCTCAGCCAACTCCAGTTCCCACATCCGATCTACTGATAACTTGTGGCCAAAATCCGTTTGTCGGGTTTTATACGCCAATTGAGGTATGATTTCATGATGTCGTGGCCATCGATGGTATACCGTAAATGATTTACCCGTATGTTTCTCTCTCTCTCTCTCTCCAAAAATAGCCGACTACTCCTATACTCAACGAATTAACCAACGCTATGGTTAGTAAAGTAAAAAATATGATACCATTTGGCGGATTGTTTGGCGGCGGCGGCAGCGGAAACAAATCGCTAGAAGATAGTCCTAAAAATTTACCACCGATTCCCATACCACTCAAACTGGGAATGTTCGATAAAAAGATTGGCCTATCAGTCAGTGTGTCGCCAAACAAACAGTTGGCCGCCGTTGTCGACGATTTCGGTAGAGTAACGCTTATCGACATTGCCGACCGGCTGGCCGTACGAATGTGGAAAGGCTATCGCGACGCACAGGTCGGCTGGATTGAGGTTCAAGAGGAAGGAGTGATGGCCGACAACAACAACAAGACTGCCGCCGCCGATTCATTGCCCAAACGGGTAACATTTATTGTGATATACGCACCTAAACGCGGTATACTAGAGGTCTGGTGTACACAATTGGGTCCGCGTGTCGGTGCCTTCAATGTCGGCAAATCGTGTCGACTAATTCAATGTCAGCACTCGATAATGGGCTTAAATGCACTCATAGTCGATCAGTTCAACAAAAGTCGCAAACAACAAGATTTGGACGACAAATGCCGGTGCTATCTGTTCGACTATAATACCGGCATTGTCTATCACATTGATATACCATTCCTCTGTGCCCTAACTGATCCCAATAGCAAACGTACTCGTGATTTGCATTTGTTTCGCGAATTACAGCAACTATTAAAATCTGAGACAACAACCAGTAGTAGTAGTAGTAGTAGTAGTAGTGTTGTCGACAAAGTGTCCGAATTGGTCGGTATGTTGAAGACAGCAGAAATGCGCCGAAACGCTATCATCCAAGAGATTTGTCAACTGAAACAGTTGAATGTGATTAAGTTGGTTACCACCAGATTAAGGGATCAATTGATGGCTAGTTTGGAAAAGAATGAACTGGATTTTGAAAATAAATTGGTTATCCAAATGTGTGCACGAGTACTGCAATTGTGTCGATTATATGAATTAAGTACCGATAGTATCGGTAGTAGTAGTAGTAGTGATGATGGTCATCATCAACACATGCCAACAGGTTTAGAAACAAATTATATTACCGATAGCTGTCAGCCGCCCGATATCCAGTTGCTTATCGAAACACTTGGCTGGAAAGGTAGTGATATTGCAAGAATTTTATCATACATTGCCTTTAAGGATGGCCTCACTGGTGGTGGTGGCGGCGGCTTTTTTGACCACCAAAACAATGTAGACAATAGTCAATCACTTCCTAAAGCAACTACCGGTACCACCAATACTCCTACTACTACTACTACTACTATCACCATTGCTGATCTGTTATCGCATTTTGTTTTATACTCCAATCATTTGGTGACCACTACTACTACTACTAATACTTCTAACACCAGTGATGGTAATCAAGAACTAGTACTCTACAGTGATATTCCTGTTGAACTAAATGTCGATCTAACTATTGGTGGTATAGACACCAATAGTATTAGTATCGGTAGTAGTAATCAATTGTTACCATTAAGTCATTTTTTGTTTCAAACTTATCAACAAACAGATGGTTGTCTTCAATTACAATCGTTGCTTAAATCCAGTTGTATTTTACCAACAAATTTATTACATTTATTTTTTATTTGTTGGCTATCATCCAATACTTGTTACTATTGGAAGTGTTGGCAATATTTTCATCAATCGTTAACAGTATTGATGGATATTATCAAACAACAGGACGCAAACATCACTGTCGAACGTATCGACGATGAAGTAGAAGAAGAAGACCGATTGTCCAACGATTGGCGGGATATACTGGTAATTATTAGCGAATCGCCGAACATTATGGCCGCCTTGACTGCCGTACAAGTGATTCGGTCAATCAATTCGAAAGATAGGAGTGACGCCAACGCCGCTAAACAACCACAACAACAACAACTAGCGGTTGTTGGCGATTATGGATCCGATGATTCCGAATGGGAAACACTACACATTGACAACGAAAGTCTTAATCTAATGATTAAACAATTAGAAGATGTCTTCCTATTGGATATGCTGTTGCATTCAAATCGTATGAAAATAGCAGCAACTAATGATGATGATGATGATGATGATGACAATGATGGTGATTTAGGGGATAACGATCACAAGTATACTGTTCCCAATATATCGTTAGCCTTCCTATTGGGCAGTGGTCCGGGTATTGTCAGCGAATTAGTAGCTAAATGGGCAATCAATTCGGATTTATCGCCCGATATATTCAATACACTGATAGAGACAAACACTGCTCAAGTGGAACAAATGGATCAGACTAGCGATAGTAGAGATGATGATGATGAAAAAGTAACGATTACTTCAGATAGGATCGCCATTGGTCAAGAAGCCATCGAAATCGATAGTTTCGATTTAAAGACAACTGTCCAACTCATTGATCACGTTCGCCGATGTTTTCCCAATTGTGTCGAATCAGATGTACTACTTGTCAACTGTAGTTGGGAACTAATGGTTCGATGGAATCGTGACCCGACAACACAATTGGTGAATCAATCGTTAGACAATTGTCTCCGATATCTATCATATGTTTCGAGTGCTGTACTCAAACACAATGTTTCGTGTCTGATATGGAAGACATTTGTTATGAAACGTTTTGAATGTTTGTGTCAACTGATCGAAAAAATGGGTCGAACACCGAAAGATCGAATCTGTCGTAAAGAGTTGGCTATCACTGAGAATCAATTGGAAGCGTTTGTCGACTTTGCCAATCATTTACTCGAACTGATACTCAATACGAATATGTTGGCCGAAATCGAACCGTTGCCACTGTTTTCTACCGACGACTGGTGGCGACCGCAGCAGTCATCGATACCATTGATAGCCAACACATCGCTGCAACAACAACAGCAGTCATCGCCATCATCTGCATCGGTAATGCCATTAGTCGTACTGGCCGTCCACCAGAAGCTGGCTAACGGTGCACTAGTACTGGAACATTCCCGAGTGGCCACTATTGTCCAATTGATTGTCGCATTTCAATTGAAAAGTTCCCGACCATTGTCACTATTTCCGGTAGTTGTTCAGCAATACTTGTTCAAAGAGTTTCATACGTATCCGGTTGTCGGCGGTACGGGTGGAACTACGGCAGCCGCCAGCGGCGGCGGCAATGTAGCCGACACTGTACTCAACACAAATCGTACAAAATTTGCCTTAACTGCCATCTCAGCCATTGTCCAGACTATACCCGTCTATTCGGAATCAGGTTTACAATCAGTTATTATTTATATAATATTTTGATATTAAGTTTTTATTTAATGAAATCTATTTGTCTAACTGTCTGTCTGTCTGTCTATGATTTTTTATATCTAATTAGAGTCAGATTCCGATTATATTGTTAACCAATCGAAACACTATTCACTGGCAAACAAATGGTTCGGTAAGATATTGACAATAAGTCGTGAATGGGATCTAAATATCGACGAAATTCGGCGTAAATTTGTTTACGATCTCTACTATTATGGTTGCGATCAATTGGCTGAAGAGGTATTTGTTTGTTATTATTGTTGTTGTCTTTTAAAAGTTGTTTTTTAATATATAAAATAACTGTTGTTATTGTTGTCTTTAGGCGGTAACATCAGTAGTGGATGTAATGAGTTTGGGACAACAATTAGCAACAGTAGCCGGTATTCGGGTATTGGCCGCTATTAACCAACGTTACGGTTCTGTGGATCAGATGCACACATTGCCGACAAACATATTGTTTTGGTTGAAAAATTTGGTAAAAGTTTTTTTTGTTGTATTTTTATTAATTTTGTTGATTTTGTTAAACAATTTATTAATTTTTTTTGTCTCTCTCTCTCTCTCTCTCCTAGCAGAGCACTGATACCAATTGCTATACGGCATCACCGGTACGGTTGACAATAGCACTGTTACAACATATCAACAATTATGTTAACAGTGATAAACATTATAGCCGTATAAGCGATACACTATTGGAAACAATTAAGATATTGGACCGCAAACAGTGATAATAATTTAAAATAATTTAAATATAATGTTATTTAGTTATTGAAATTATAATGAATTTTATAATTATATATTTAAATAATAATTTATAAGTTATTTGTTGTTGTTATTGTTGTTGTTGTTGTTGTTGTACTGTATTTATGATATTTATTTTATTTGAGAAAAACTACTACTGATAATAGTTTTTGTAAACAATAATTGAACATGGTAATTAATTTTTTTTAATGATATATTAATATTTATATATAAAGTTATATAAATTAAATTTATTTAAAAAAATATTGAAAAAAATAATTTGAATTATATTATATAATATATTTGATATCGATTTTTTTTATATAAATTTATAAATTTTGATAAAATATTTTATAGTTTAAAAATTAATATTAATATTACTTTATATAATAATAATAAATAAATAAATTGTTTAATTTGTTGGGTTTAAAAATTGTTATAAAATAAATTATAAATAATCAAAATTAATTTATGCAGTTTTTAAGTTAATATTTTTTAAAAAAATAAAAAAAAGATTATAAAACTAAATATAATAAAATATAATAGTAATTATTATTATGTAAATTTAATTAAAAAATATATTATTAATTATAATAAATTAAAAAAATAAATAAATATACAAATTTATCATTGAATAAGTTTATCTCTCTAAAAAAAATTTTGTTTAATATTAATCAATTCAATCATATTATACATAAACAAAAAAAATTATTAATTATCATTAATTTAATCAAATAAAATTTACATATAATATATATATATATATATTTAAAAATTGATTATTTTCCAACTATTTACAAATTGCTGTTTAATTTTTCATATTAATTAATTATTTATTAATAATATAATTTATAATCTACTACTGTATATAATATATATATTATTATAAATAAATAAATAATTATTGTATGTTTTTCAAATATTAATTATTATTATTAATTAGAAAAATATATTATTAATAATATTTTTTTTTAAAATTACTATTATCTGTCTATTTATTTATCTATAAATTAATTAATAAATTTAATTAAATTTAATTTTAATAGACAATTAATTGTTGATCTGTTGATTGGGATCTATTGGATCTGTTTTGTTTTGAATACTTGATGGCCACTTCATCGCCAATACTATCCATTACGTCCAGTGCTTTGTCCAGCATTTCTTTAGTGTGCGATGCGGACACACAAAACCTGACCCGACCGGTGGTCAGCGGAGTGGCCGGAAAGGCGGCACCGACTGTACCGATACCGTTGACAAAGGCTTGCCTGACGACAGCACTAATTAGTAATAATTATCGGTTATTATTAATAATAATAATTAGATTTTTTTTGTGAGGAAAGGGTGGATATTATATATATACACATACGCTATCTTTGAGCAAAAACATATCATAATGGGAACAACTGGCGAATCATTGTTGCCGTAGACAACAAAACCCATTTGTTTGAGCCGCTGGCGAAAGTATCGGGCATTTCGGGACAGTTTTGCGATTCGGTTTTTACCTTTAAAAAAAATATAATTAATTTTCTTATATTAATAGTTTTGATAAAAACATAATATGCCATCCCTTCCCACACACACACACACCCACCCACCCATACTCTCTCTCTCTCTCTTTCTCATTGCTCTTACCATCATCGGTGCCAACGTTGCCCATAATAACATTGATTACCGAAATAATTTGCTGGACAATACAGGGAGCTATCGACGATCCATAGGTTGCCCCTTGCGATCGGACAGCAATATAGTCGATAATGGATTTTCTGCCAGCAATATAGCCGCCGGCGGCACCAAAACTTTTGGTAAACGTTCCCATCAATAGGTCGATGTCTTTCGGATCGCAACCAAAATAGTCGGCCACACCGCCGCCCCTCTGGCCAATGGCACCGATACTATGGGCTTCATCCAGATAGACGTAGCACTTGTATTTGCGTTTCAATTTGATAATTTCGGGTAAGTTGATTATGGTACCCTCCATACTGTAGATGCCCTCGACAATTATGATTATCTTTTTCCAGGGTCGGTGCGTTTTGTACTGGCCATCGACTATATGTTTACGCAATTTTTCCTCCAAATCTTTCATATCTGTATCACATATAGTAGTAGTAGTAGTAGTAGTTAAGTAGTATAGACAGGTATTATTTAAAATGAAACAGTTATGTGTGTGTGTGTGTGTGTGATGCTAATAGATTTTTAGAGGGCGGGTAAGTATAGTGTGTAAGTATATGATTAAGTGAGTGATTGATCGATTGAGTGAGTGAGTGAGTGTGTGTGTGTGTGTGTGTGAGAGAGAGAGAGAGAGAGAGAGAGAGAGAGAGAGAGAGAGAGACCGATTATACTAACCATTATGTTTGAACAGTGATATAGTGGATCCCGATTTCTTTGAGCCCAATATAATGGACGCGTGATTGTATTCATCGCTCAATATTAGGGCTCCCTTTCCCGCCAGTGTCGGTATATTAGTCGAATTGGTGGCAAAGCCCATACCGAACACAATACTAGATTCGACACCTAAAAAACGGGCCAATAGTGACTCCAGTTCCCTATGAATAGCGGTAGTGCCTATTAAAAAAAAACATATATATATATATATATATATATCTGTTTAGTATTATTAGTTAATAATTACTATTTACCGATTTCATGTCGGGTAGAGCCCATCCCAACACCGTATCTATCGATAACTGTTTCGACTCTATCGACATTTGGACCGCTATTTTCGGCAAAACCCAAATAATTATATGAACCCATATTTATAGCGCGTGTGGTTGTACCGGGAAATCTGGTCAACAAAATTATTATATAATATATATATTAATATTCTGTATATTTGGTGGTGGGTCATGGGTGTGGGTGGGGGCAGGGGTTGGGTTAAACAAAACATAACAACAACAAAAAAAACCCACTCAAATGTCCAATTAAAATCATCGGTTTTACGGTCCATGACATCGATGTAGGCTCCGGGCACGCAAGTAATGGGCCGATTGCAGCCATCGCATACCCGCCGATAGATATTGCGGGTAAAAAAACTTTCAAAACTCTGATATAACGGAACGTAATTCTAGTGATAAAAATAATTAAAAAAGTTTTTAGTTTAATAATGATAGAGTACTGAACCCCAACAAAAACTAAATTTATGACTGACTGACCTCCCGGTTCGCCTCTTTGGCCGATCTTGTCTTTTCGATGCCAATGTTTCGCAAAAAATCTCTTAAATAGCCAAACAATATAAGTATTAAATAACTTAGACAACAGAGTAGTTGTATATGAATGGGCGGCTCTTCCTTTCCGTTGGGCACCGGTGGCTGTCGCGGTGGCTTATGTAGATGATTATGATGTTGATGACTACTAATAATACCACCATTTGATAGATTGTTGTCTACAACAACACCACCACCACTACCATCATCTGACTGTTCGTGTTGTTGTTGTTGTTGACTAATTTTTATTAGCTGTTGATCGCATAATTTAAATAAAATAAATTAATATTATATATATAATAAATTAATTAATTAGTTAGTTGAACACACCAAACCATACACACCTACCTACCTAAGCGGTATACAGTAGTAGTAGTAGTAGTCTACCAGTGCTTATTCTCATTCATTGATTTAATTATTTTTTTTTAAATAAAATTTATATAATCTGCATATATATTATTATTATAACATTTATAATTGATAACTAAATAATTTTTTTTTTAAATTTATGATTGAGAAAGCACCGGTAGATTAAATACATGGCTTAGGTGTGTGTGTGTGTGTGTGTGTGTGTGTGTGTGTGTCTGTGTGTGTGTGTGTGTGTGTGTGTATGTGTTAAATAAATAATATACGACTACTACTAGTGTACTCACAGACACGGAATCGATAGCCGGCCTATCCTTTTGCTGGCATTTCCAATGATATCCATTAGTTTTAGTAGTATTGGTAGTAGTAGTAGTAGTAGTCAATCGTTGGACACATTTATTATTACCGCTACTATTATTAACAACAACACCATCACTACTATTATTATTAATAACAACTCCATTAGTAATAATAGTATTATCATTGATTAGAGTCACTGCGTTAACAGTGTCGACAATCGGACAGTAATTACCGTCCGGACCCATGATTATCCAGTAGTAGTAGCAAAAAAAACTGACAAAAAAATTATATATATATATATATACTGTTTATTAATTATATTATATATATATATATTGTATTTTTAAAATAAAAAACTGATGATTATTGTTGATGATGTATTAGATGAGAAAATAATAGTATAAAAGTAATAATAATAATAATTGCGATAAAAACAAAGTTTTCATTTTTTTTTAAATAATAATAATTATTATTATTTAAACATTTATGCAAACTATTTATTATTCATTCAAAAAAAAACAAACATTTTAATTATAATATTTATTCATCGATTCACTTGAATCGCTGAACAAAATATATATTCAATAAATATATATATACTATATATATATATAAAGTGTACAAATAATATATTTGTTTTTTTTATTAATTTATTTAAAACAAAACTACTAAAAAAATAAATAAATAAAATTTTGAAAATTGATTTTTCTCACAGGTGCATTTTAGAAAAATTATTATTATTATTATTATTATAAGTATTATTTCAATTTTTTGGTGTCGACACCAGTGAAAAAACACGTAAATGAAATGCTTGAGCAATCACTTGACTTTTTTTGGTGGGCATTGAATATAAGGTTTTTAAAAAAACATAACATCTCTCTCTCTCTCTCTCTCTCTCTCTCTCTCTCTCTCTCTCTCTCTCGAGTCATGTTTTTTAAAGTTAGTTCATGAATGAAGATCAGAGAGGAGACCATAGAGAAAGAGAGAGAGAGAGAGAGAGAGAGAGAGAGAAGTGAAAAACCTGTTATTGAACTCTTAAAAAAATACTGAGAGAAGACAGAGTTGAGGGCAAAGACATTACAGGTATTTATCTTTCAAGTGAGTGAGTAGTACTCTAGTAGTAGTTCTCAGGTGTATTAAAGGCCAGACCTACACACACACACACACACACACACACACACACACACACTCATACATATATCTACTTATAGTGAGAGAGAGAGAGAGAGAACCGGCATTTACTCAAGAGTGTAGGTATTACCACACACTCAGAAAAAAAGAGATCATAGCTTAAGATAAGAGCAGCCAAAAAAAATCTCTGTATTATTATTATTATTATTATTATTATTATTGCTGTATATTTAAAAAATTTCCGAAAAAAAATCTCTGTGAAAGTGCTCATCACATCATTTACTTTACTTATATATATATATATATACTGTATATTATATACAGAATATATAACTTATATATATTATATGTATATGTTTTTAGTGTGTTTGCTGCCGACAATTATGATAATTTATTTTTTTTTGAAACTTTTATTTTGTATATCACACACATACACACACTGTATATCTTTTAAAATTTATATTTCAAATACATTTTATTTTTTGATAGTTATCATTATTAACAATATCACTAATAATAATAATAATGTTTTTCAAGAGTGTCTACTATATATATATATTGTTTAGGTTCATTATCCACATAATATTACATAATATTGTTAAAATAAACACAATTTTTATTATTATCTTTTTATTTTAAAAAAAATAAAAAAATCTTAAAGCAATTTACAGCCAAAAAAATATTTATGAAGACATTACACTTAAAAACAATTAGCAATGAGTTATTATTATGTAATGTTTTTTTTAAAGGAAATCTCTCTCTCTCTCTCTCTCTCTCTCTCTCTCTCTCTCTCTCTATTTAAGCATTTAAAACAATAATTTTTATTTTACGTATGTATACTATATATATATAAGTATTTGTTATTTAGGAAATAACATGTTTAAAAAAAGGTCAATAATTTTTTTTAAAAGAAATAAATTATAAAATTTATTATTATTAAATTATTTTTTGTTGAAAATAAATTTTATCTTAATCTTAATATTTATTATCACTATTTTTATTATTATTAATTATTTATATATATATATATACTATACTACAGTAAATACTAAATCATTAATCAAAATAATATTTATATTTATTAAAATTTACTGTATGTCTAGTAAAATTTTTTAATAATAATAATAATTAAAAATTATACTATTAATAACTTACCTATTATTAAATAATTATTATGAAATTGTATAAAATTCACAATTTTTATTAACTATTATATAGTATATAAAAATATTAGTTATATTTAAACATTTAAAACAAATATATTATTTACACAAAAATTACTTAAAAATTAATTTTAAAAAATATATTTAAAATAATTATACAAATACTAGTTAAAAATTTTTAGTTAATTAATTAATTAAATATGATTTAAAACTTTACTTAAAGAAAATATATTTATTAATATTTTGATAATGATAATTCATAAAAAAATATAGCAATTACTAATTATTAATTTCTAACTTATAAAAATTGTAAAATAATATTATGATCTAATAACTAAATAAATGTTAAATCATTTAAAAAATTATTTTTTTTCCTAAAATTTACGCAAAACACAAATTTACAAAATAAAAACTTGCAATATATATAAACTAAAGTTTTTAAACAAACAAAAAAATATAATTGAATAATATATTGATTAAAAAACAACATAAATTATTAATAATAATGATTATCTATTTAAAAATATTAAATGATAGTCAAAATTATGTTTTTAATAAGTTATTATATTTTTTTATAAATGTAAATTTATTTAGTAAGCGCTTATTGTAAGTTTTTTTTAAATTTAATTTTTTTAAATATATAATTTTAAATATATTTAATATATTGTAAAAAAGTGCATGAAAAAATAAACAGTATTAATTATAAATATAGTTTATTTTTTTAATAACTAATATTATAATTTAATTAAATTTGTTTAAAAAGTTATACAAGTTAATTTTGACAACAAAAAACATATTTGACATAGCTAAACAATAATAATTTTGCCTACAATATCAATACAATTATTATTATTTTTATTATCATAATCATCATCAATTTCGATAATTTTATTATTATTATTATTATTATTAATTGTATTATTTTTAAATATGTCTACTATAATCAAAATAATTGCTATGATAGACATTATTGAAAATGTCATATTTAACAGCCATTGGTTAATTTCACTCTAGAAAATAATAATAATAATTATTAGTATTTAAAATTTGAAAATATTATAAATAAAATATATTATTATTATTATTAAAAAAAAATAACTATAAAAATAATTAATTACAATTTTGCATATGAATGGCGACAAACCATACGATAGGATAATAATATTGATTAATAAGATATTGAATTTTGTTGATCTCATTGATATAAATTTGAAAATTATGCAAATATTTGTATAGAAAACTATTGAAACCGAGATCCTAATCAATTGGCAAACAATTTTGCCAAACAAACCATTGCTAATATATTTTATGGATTCAAATATTTCTGGATATAAGTAATAACAACAAAATAATTAAATTAAATTAAAAACATGATAATAGATATGATAATATTAGATGATATTAATAAATATAAAATTAATAATACATTTTTCTAATAAAATAATATTCATAAATAATAATAATAATAATAAATTGTATTAACATTACAATAATTAATAAATATATTAAATTATCTTATTTTAAGATAATTTTAATAAATTATTGATATATTAATATATATATTGTATATTAAATATTACTTTGTTATACATTATTAATAAATACAGTACTTACCAGACAATGATAAACATAATGTACTGATTGTTATAATAATAAATGCCATAAATATAATAGATTTTGATGAAACTTTTAGATTATAATTATTAATATTGAAATCAATTGTATTATTATTATGAATAATAATTAAATAAATCACAATCGCAACGATGGCTTGAATTATAATAAACGAATAGTCATAATAATGACCGTTTGAATTGATATCAAGTTTCAAGTATTGGGAATATTCTTCACCAAAAAATATAAATGATGTCAATAGTAATCTACAAATATATATATATATATATAATAATAAAATTAATTATATTTAGTTAGAGAGAGAGAGAGAGAGAGAGAGAGAGAAAGAGAGAGAAAGAGAGAGAAAGAGAGAGAGAGAAAGAGAGAGAGAGAGAGAGAGAGAAAGAGAGATAACATACATAAATAATTGATTATTTAGTTTAGTTAATGTATAATCGCTTAATAATAATGATTGTTTTGATTTAATTGTTGTCTCATTATTATTATTATTATCATTATGATCATCGACATCATTATCATCATTATCATTGATAATATAATTTACATTATTATTAGTAGTAGTAGTAGTAGTAATGATAGTATCGTTCAAATCGATGACATATAATTTAAATAAAACAAATCTAATATTTAAAAAAAAAATAAATATTAATTAATATCTTAAAAAAATTATTTAAACAAACAAAAAAATATTACCCCAAACATAGTAGTGGCAAAAATGAAAAACTATTAAATATCTGTATAATCTTCCAGTTATTGATAATGGATATGAAATATAAGTTCAACCATTTACCAGCAATTGATCCCAATATTGCCGATAGATAGACAAACTTATTGTTGGACTGATGATGATAATGATGATTATCACAATCATCATCATCATCATCATCATTATCATCATCATCACTGAGTTTAAGCTTAGCCATCATTAGTACAATCAGATAAAAATTGATACCAAAACTAACTGTTGCCGTAAATATTAAACCCATAAAGATACCGATATCGGTGGCCAGTGTAGCTGACAAATTGGTGCCGACCATCAGTACGCCCGATACTATCAATATTATTAGCAAATAGTTTATCTCCGAAAAACATAGAAACACTGCCGACACTAGAAATCCGATGCTTGTTATCAATGGCAGCCAATTAAGTATCCATTGATTATCGCATATCAATTGTAACTGATTTTTTTTATTTGAAAAATAAATATAATTATTACTAATATTATATAATTATTGTTAAATTATTCAATAATTTTTAATTTTGAAATTATCATTATTTTTTGTTTGTTTGTTTAGTTTTTTATTAATTAATTATTTTATTGATTGATTACCTGATAAATGATTGACGATTTATGATCTGAAAAATACCAGCCATTTTGACACCAAGTGATGGCACCGATTGAATAGTCGACAACAATTTTTTGTTGATGATTGTGTTGGTGGTGTTGGCCATCGGTAGTATAATTAGCCATATATTGGTGACAATGCGAGTGTGTATTGGCCGCAATATGCCGCCGATATCTTAGTCCAACTGGTACCTGATCCCAATAGGGTATACCAGAATTTTTCCACTCTTTTGGCGACCATTGGCCACTGGGTACCGAAGCCGGTGGCCGACAGTAGTGGTCAACCGGTTGGCTAATATACTGTACCGATAGTACGTAACTTGTAAAGTATAGACCAGTAAAAAATGCCAACAAATAGTTGATTAGTTGAAGTCTAGTAATTGATTTATTAGCCATTTTTATATATATATATAATTTAATTGATTTTAATTTTTTTTAGTTAATATTTGCGAAATATTTAATAAAATTACTAACTTTTTAAACAAAAAAAAAACAAAAAATTTCAATTGAAAATATCAGATATTTTTTTATAATTTTATTATTATTTGAATTTTTGACACAAATTAAATATTAATTATTGTGTGTATGTGTGTGTTGTTTTAAATAAATATTTTTAAAAAAAAAATATAATTAAAATTACAAATAATTTTTATTTTTATTAAAAAAAAGGATATTAAATATCAAAGTGACTCACATTTGATTTCACAATTTTTGATATTTTTGTAATAATAATAATATTTATTATTTATAATTAAAAAAATCATTTAATTATTAAATATTAAATTAAGTAATAAAAAAATAAGCTCACAATATGTTCATAATTTTTTTTTTAGATAATAAAAATGCATAAATTAAATACCAATCATATTTTGTTTGTTTGTAAATATATAGAAATACATTATTTAGATGAAAAAAATTAAGATTATTATTTGAGATAAAAATTAAGGCACATTTAAATGTTTAATAAATGTTATCACAGTGTAATCATAATTATTAATTTCAAAAAAATAAATGTTAATTATTTTGTTACTAAATTTTAATTGCAAAGTTAAATAATATCATAAATAAATATGTTTTTGTGTTTTCATTAAAATTATTTTCTCTCTCTCTCTCTCTCTCTCTCTCTCTCTCTCTCTTAGATATATTTAAACAACAACGAAAAAAATGTTACTAACATTTTTGTGTTAAATAATAAAAATAATTTAAATATTTTTAGTTGAAATATTTAAATAACAAATTTCAATAACACATAATTTATAATCTTTTTTAAAAAAAAAAAATTATATTATAATATAATATTATTAGAGTATATATATATATATATATATATACAGTATATAATACTAATAAACCTATTCATGTGATAAATATGATAAATTAAACTCAAAAAAAAACAATATAATAACTATTAAATTCTATATACATTTTTTTCAAAAAAAAAATCATACAAATGTTGTAAAATAATAATAAATAATACTTATAATAATAATAATTTAATTAATGAGTAAAAATATTTTTGTTGATGATTTCCAAACACACACACACACACACACATACATACATATATATAGACACAAAACTAAACGTAAAATATATATATATATATATATATATATATAAATAAAATTATAAAACAAATTGTTTTTTTTTGTGTTTTCAATTGTTTTCAATTCTTGATTCCTCGGAATCGCTTTCCATTAGTAGGGACTCGAACTCACGTTTCAATGGTTTCTCATCTAAATTAATAATAATATTGAAAAGTGTCGTTTGATTTTCGGTGAAAGAAAGATAATCCAAAAAAAAAGAAAGAAAAAAAACACAAAAATTAGGACACAATTTGGCACAACATTCAGATATTATATATATAATAAATATAATATTAAATAAATTTTAGAAAATATAAAAACAAAAACTTAATAAAAGTTAAAATTTAATAATAATTTTTTTTGACAATATATAGTGTATATAAAACAACTCATTTAAATTAAGAATTTTTTTTAAAAATATTATTTATTTTTTTTAAATGAATATATTTTGTTTCAATACCTTAATCATTAAATTTTTAAAAATTCAAATAAACGAGAAAAAAATATTTAAAGAAATATTTAATTAATTTATAATTAAGTTTTTTTTGTATAAAATCAATAAATATTTACAATAATAATAATAATAATATGATATAATTAAAGTTTAGAGAAATTAATAAACAATTTATAGAAATAAATTTTTTTTTAATAACAACTTATAAATATTATTATTATTATTAATAATTTACTAAATAATAATTAATTAATAAATTGATAAAAGTTTTCCCAACATAACAGTTACAAATAATGAAAACAAAAATATAAATATATATATATTTATTTGTTATATAAATATAAATATGTTATTTCTTAATAATTATAATAATAAATTTAAAGTCTAATTGATATATATATATATATATATATATAAAAAACCTAAACATATGAGTAAATCAATTGGTTGTTTGCCCAATAAATTGCATTTTTTATATTATAATATTTATAAATAACAACTTTACATAATAATTATAATTATTATTATCATAAGTAAAAATTAATTGTTGACTAAAATTACAGGTAGGCTATAATAATATAATAATTATAATAAAATGATATCTATTATCTTAATTTATTTAATTATAATGAATGTCAAAGTTATTAGTATATATATAATTTAAATATATATATATATTAATCAATAGATAAATATAATAATAATAATATTCAACAAACAGTTATTTGTTTTTCAAAAATTAAAAAACAAAACAAAATGATTTTACAAAAAAAAATTCATTTGGTTTTTGTTTGTTTTTCTCCAAAATTATTATTACTTTTAGTAGTAGTAGTAGTAGTAGTAAGTGATAGACGAGAAAAAAATCATATTTTATATTATCATATATTCATTATCATTGCATTCAATCTGCCGAATGCATTGGGTCTCTAATTATTAACAATAATAATAATAATTAAAAAATAAAAGACTAGGGTTTCATAAAAAAAATTTCATTCAAATATATATATTTTTTATGGGAAAGAGAGAGAGAGAGAGAGAGGATGGAGATTGAGAGGGAGGGTTAGAGAGAGAGAAAGATAGATAAAGATAATATAGAGAAAATCCTAGCGTTTCTCATGTCTTAAGTTGTAGGGCCGGCTCCCCCGGCCATCCCTACCATTTGTCGACGTCTCCGATGTCTGTGACGGCGTATTTGACAGCGAATTCTGGCGCGAATGGGTCATCAGTTTGTTGTTGCGATCATATTGTATGGATAGGACACGTATTTTCAGGTAAGTGGCAATCTGTGTGCACGTACTGTACGAGTAGTACAAAAAGTCTAGTATTGTGTAAAACTAGCCGAAAGAAAAAAATATAATTTAAAAAAAATGTTAATTTTTTTATTAACCGGTAAATCAAAAAAAAAAATCTATTATTATTAGTGTGTCTGCACCGGTACACTAATACACAGTACCGATAAACTGCTTATACACTTACATAAGCAATCCATAGGAGTATATATTCATCGATTGTCTCATTAAAGTATTGATTCAGAAACAGTAGCAATGGACCAATAAAAACGGTATCCAATTTGGTTATCTCACTTTTGCTCATTTGTGCCACCTTTTTGTAGACAATGGATAACCAAAAAAAAAAACACATAATTTTAGAGACAATATCAGTGATACAACCCCAACCCACCCCACCCACTACGAAAAAATAATAATAATAGTTATACCACTAATTTGCAGGTAATCTTGGCAGTAACCAAACCAAATGTTATCAAATAGAGAGCAATGTGATCCTCAAACACTGTCGACGGTGACTTAAAATAGATGGTCAGTGCCGATACTACCGCCAAAAATATCGGTATAAACGGTGATAATATTGATGTGTCCTAAAAAAATTTCATTGTATCGATGTATGGGTAGTGAATATGCCATACGGATAGCAAATACAAAAATATGATAAAATAAATTATTTAAAAAAAATATTAATATTGTATTTTTGTTGTTGAAAATTGTTTTGTTATGTGAAATGTTATAAATCTAGGACAGTTAGATTAAATTGATGGCACCAACAAAAAAAATAAAACTTACGGCAACAGTTGAGCCGTTTTTGCCCACCCCTCCCGTAAATATAATTTTGGCATTCGTGGCAAATATAAGACATTCATTGCATAGCGAGAAAAATGTGGGAATCATTTGAAGCTTAACATGCATTAGCCATGGGATCTGGTAGTAGTAGTGTTTAGTTTAGTATTTGTATACCGTCACCGAAAAATTAAAATTAAAAATAAAATATATGAAACAAACAACAATCAAATTAGAGGTATTACAGTAGGTAATAAATATTAGATAATTTTTAAATAAAAAACCAATCACCAAAAATAAAAATTATATCATATAAATCCAATAGTTTTTATAATTAATCACAAATTATTGCATTATTTTTTTTTTAAAAAAGTCAACCACCCGTTCCTCCTCCCCGTCCAAGTCATGCACCGGTTTTTTATACCAAATAATAAGATAACCATTAATTTTAAATACCATTCAAACATATGATGCTAATGATGATGGAATCAAATTATATGGTGATATATAGATGCGTGCAATTTGTTATAATGGCAATAGGAGTTTCCCGCCGATGGATAGCACCGGTAGGGTATTGTCGTGTATGTGTGTGTGTGTCTGTGTGTGGTTTTGTGTGAAGACGACTACAACTCTCAACTTACAGCAACTGATGAACCATTTTTGCCGATACCTTGCGTTAGGATTGCATTGAAATATCTGCAGCCAATGATGACGGCATTGAAGGCCGTTATGAACATTACTATATATCTTAAGTCGAGACCAATTGACGGAACAATCTTATTGTGTGTAATGTTGTTTTTTTTGGTGATAATTAATAATTACCGTAAATTATTATTATTCAATAAATTAAATAAATTATATGTATAAATCAAAACAATATTAACCACTCATTCAAATTAAAATTGATTAGAAAGATATATCCAATCATAAGATCATGGATACCGTACCTCATAGGTCCAGATAGATGTGCCAAACATTGATGATACCAATAATATGATAATGATGGTCATCTGGGCTTCGGTAACATCAAATTTGGCAAACCTTAGCTCACCGGTAACATAGGTTTGCCAGTGGGCCATATAGAACAGGGCGACGGCCATTACCTGTAGCATAACCATCAGTGCCGGTAAATGGCCTAAATCTACGGCCAGACAAACGGATAACGAGACAAATACTGTGTGTATGTGTGAACAATAATAACAAACAAACAGTTAGTTTGGGATCAGATTTGATTGATGGATGGGTTAAAAAATAATGATTGGATTGAATTTTGGTCACTGACTGGTGGACACGGCATCGCAGCCGTGATCGAAAAGCTCTCCCAAACAAGTGGACGTTTTTGTACGTCTAGCTTGTTTGCCATCGCAGGCATCAAGTGTCTGATAGACAAATAAGCCGATAGCGCAAAACAGTAGCGGCCACCACGGTATCTATTCACGGGCGGAGTGGTCAGTCAATCGGTAGAAAGAGAGAGAGGTTAGCGATAATAACTGTTAGGCTATTTGATTGATTGATTAAGACTTACGCCCTGTTTGGCATCGGGACTATAGTGTACTAATATACAAGCGGTAACAATATTGCTGGCCAGTCCGACCAATGTCATAGCATTCGGTGACCACCATATGGGTACAACACGATCGACAAACCATCGCCAAAACGGTTGCATCAGCGGATCCAATAGTGTCGACCCGGAAGCCGAATACTTGTGTTGCGATAGACGCAACAGTTTTCTGTCCGATAGTTTTTCGCATATTGCCGACAACATGACTGCCATTTACGGGGCCGTAAGGTAGTCCTCGTCGGGGGTGACAAACAAACAAACTGATAGCGGCGTCGGGCAGTGTTTGTTGTGTTGACTGACCACTAACTTACCGATCGATTGGATAGGTATGCACTGAGATAGAGAGTGGACACCCGAATCAATCTGTTGATCAATGAATCGGTAAAATATTTTATCGGCTGATTGTGTTGTGTTGTGTCCACACAATTATCGGTTTGTTATAGTTGTCGGTCAATGGCCTCACTCTCTATAGTGTTATGAATCCATTGATCGTTTCAATCAATCAATCAATTGTTTCAATTAATTAATTAATTAATATATTATTATTATCTATGATTAGAGTCAATGCAAACTATATGATTGATAATAATAATAATAAATGCATATATCATATATGTATTTAATTTAATACTATTATCATTATTATTATTATTATTATTAATTAAACAAATATGTGATTGCTAAATTATTATTATTATTTATTAAAACTGTGTGTACATTGAACATTGAAAAAAAAAATTTATGTGTATGTATACTTTTACACACACTGTACATATGATAATATTAATACATTGATTGTACTGTATATGTATATTAAATGTATGTACAGTGTATGGTAGTGTACAACAAACTAGACGTGTATAATATGAAAAAAATATATTGTATACATACTATGCAACCCCTATGGCTATTATATACATTAGATGCAACTTAATTACAAATGTATATGTATTGTATGTATGTATGTGTGTGTATATGTATGTGTGTATATGTATGTATGTAAATGTGTATGTGTATGTGTATGTGTATGTGTATGTGTATGTGTATGTGTATGTGTATGTGTATGTGTATGTGTATGTGTATGTGTATGTGTATGTGTATGTGTATGTGTATGTGTATGTGTATGTGTATGTGTATGTGTATGTGTATGTGTATGTGTATGTGTATGTGTATGTGTATGTGTATGTGTATGTGTATGTGTATGTGTATGTGTATGTGTATGTGTATGTGTATGTGTATGTGTATGTGTATGTGTATGTGTATGTGTATGTGTATGTGTATGTGTATGTGTATGTGTATGTGTATGTGTATGTGTATGTTTTAATGGTTTATCAATATAAAATTTATTAGTATATTATTTAGCATGCTCACATTTAACATACAGTTGACAATACGTGTTTAATAATAATGTATTAAAAAAAATAATAATATTATAATATTATAAATTTAATGTAGAAATAAAATAATTTTTTAAATTACTATTATATTGTAAAATGTTTAAATACAGTAAAACAAATATTTATCGAAAATGCTTAAAATATTTATATATGAATTTTCAAAAAACAAAAAAATATTTTTTTTGTTTAAATTACAATAATAATAAATATCATATATTTTTATCAACTAAATAAAATTATTAATATATTTGAAAATATATAATAATAATTGTTGAATATTTTTTCCACACAAAAAAATGATATTTTTTATTATAATAGCACATGCAGTATATATGATTAATTAATTAATTAAAATTGATTAATTAATAAACAATATTTTATATACTTATGTTTTAGTTTTACTTAAAAAAAAAATCCCGAACTAATCCCGTCCGGGAAAACTGCAGCGGGAATTATTCGGATAATAATCCGGGAATATTTACTGCTATAGTGTGTGTGTGTGTCTAATAAATCGTATGTTTTTTCATATCAATTCAAATCAATAGTAAGAGAGAGAGAGAGAAAGAAAGAGAGATAATAACGATTTATTTATTATCAATAAAAATAAATAAACAATTAATAACTTTATATATGTTTTTAATCGTTTTTTTTTTAGTTGAAACTATGTATTAATCCCTTATATATTATACACACACACACACACACTGTATAACTACAGTGTATATGTCTATTGAAATCACACATATGTCAGACATTGTACGCGTTCCTATACACGTCAACATATTAATACATAATAAGTACAGTTTAAATTATATTATTAAATAAATATATTCATAGAATCAATGGCTAACATATGTGTGTTTGAAATGTTATCAATTTGTATAAAATATTATATATTTTTATTGAATATAAAATAAACTCCTAGAGGTCTCTACAGTCAGTCAAACACACAATAGAGACGACAACAAAATAATACATACAGTTTAGTAACTGTACTTAAAAAAAAAATATTTACAACAAAACTAAAATTTAATTAAATTTATTCAAAAAAAAACTTTAATAAATAAAAGTATATGTAATTATTATTTTTTAAAAAAATAATTGAATTAAAATAAAATGTTTAATATTTATTATATAATTAATATTAGTTTATTGTATATTATATGTAGTCTGTACTGTACTCAAACACATTGACACTACAGTACTGTATTGACAGTGAATTGCAATTAAATTATTTATTTATTGTATTTTTTATTTCAATAATAAAACTCACGTTTTATTTACTAATTGTTTATTAAATAGTAATTAAATAAAAAAACAATTAATTAATTAATTAATTGTTTTGTGTGTTTCGGGTCTCAAACAACAAATAGTTTGCCGAATAATTTTGTGTTGTGTGGCCACCAATACTCTCTCTCTCTCTCACTCTCATGGAGTCAATGATTACGGACAGCGCGCCGCCGGCGGCCGCCGCGGCAACGGTAATGACAACAACAACAACAACAACGGCTACCGTCCCGTCGGTTGTCGCCAATACTGTCGCTAACGGCAGTGGAGTCGCCGCAGCCGTCGCCGTCGGTACTGATTTAGGCAGTGGTGGCGGCGGCGCCAGCAGTGGTGGTACCGGTTCGGCAGCGATGGAGCAGTTTCTGATTCTGGCCAAAACATGCAAAGGCCTGTCGGCTGTCGAACTGATCCGACAGGTGGTCGAGTCGCCACATATCTACGTATTCGGCGAATTTCTAGACATACCCAACATCGGCGATCTGGCCAACAATTGCGATCATAAACCCTACTACGATCTACTCGTTTTGTTTGCATTCGGCCAATACTCGGACTATTTAGCCAATGTTCAGACATTGCCCGAACTATCGGCTCAGATGCGCCAAAAGTTGCGTCATTTGACAATCGTATCGATGGCCACGAAATCCAAACACATTCCGTACGGCCGACTACTCGAAGAACTCGATATGAAAAACCTGCGCGAACTCGAAGACCTGATTATCGATGTTATCTATGCGGGTGTTGTTACCGGCAAAATGGATCAACTGAACAATCGGCTGGAAGTCGAACAGACAATCGGACGCGATATACGCCGCGGCGACGATCTGAAAGTAGTGGCCAACATACTGGCCGAATGGTGCCGAAACTGTGACAATGTATTGCGTAATATTGAACAACAGATTCTGAACGCCAATCGGCTGAAAGAGGATAATCATAAACAACGACAACAATTGGACCAACAGGTGTCCACTATTAAGAAGACAATCAAATCGTCGTCTTCGTCTGGCGGCGGCGGCGGTGCCGATATGGACGATCCGATGACTACCGATTTGGTTAATTCGTCGCCGCGCGACCATCGAGAAGCCGCTCTAAACTTTGAAAAGATTAAACGGTCGAATATTACTGGCGGTGGTAAAGGCAAGGGTTCGGGTCTACGCGGTTCGGGTACTAAGTTCTGGAAGAGAGACAACAACTGATGCGATGAGATGAGTTGAGGGATCAGTTGAGATGATAATAATAATAATAAAACAAAACAAAAAAAAAAGTTATTAATAACTCATTAGATTTTTTTGTTTGTTTAATACTAAACGTGTTTTATTTAATTTTTTTGTTTGTTTTTTATATTATTATTAAATATTTGTATTTATTAATAAATAATTTGTATTATTATTATTATTATATAAATATAATATTATTTAGACTAATAAAAAATACAGTATATCTGATTGTAAATTACCGGTAATTATCATTTATAATTTTTGTTTTACAATTACCGGTATATTTAAAAAAAAAATTTATATACGAAAATTTTTAACAAACAAACATAAAAAACGACACAAACCTATTGTACAATTGATTGATTTAATTTTGATTAATACTGTAATAATTAATAAATAATAATAATTTTTAAAAAAATTAATAAATCCCTGTGTCGGACTAATTAATATATTGTATAATAACTACCCCCCGGGTAATCAATTATAATTTATCGGTAATAGTATTAATAATCTGATTAATATTAAGTATCGGTAAAAAATAAATTTATAATTATTTCATAACTTTCAACAACAACAACAACAAAATTAATTAATTACAGATAAAATAAAATTCAAAAAACAAAACGATCGGAAAAAAAATTTACAATTAATGAAAATTACTAAAAATAATACATTAATTTTAAAAAATCATTTTTATTAACTGAAAAGTATTTTATTTATTAAAAAAAAAATCAAATTCTAAAAAATCATTGATAACTTTATAATAGCGACTTTACAATACAGTAGTTAAATATGATTTTTTTTTTAAATACAGAAACAAACAATTGTTAAATACTGTTAATTTAAAAAACAAAAACAAAAAAAAAACAAAAAATAAAGCAAAAATTACTATAATTTTCAATAAAAAAAACTTGAGTTTTTTTTTAAAAAAAAATCTACATTAGTGTCACTACTAAAGCAAAAATGTATTATTTTTTATTATTAATAAATTATGTATTTATTATTTTATAATATTTATAATTGTTATATATATATAAAGTGTTATATAATTTCATTTTCTATACTTATCTATTAAAATCCTTTATATAATAATAATAATATGTTATCATATTATCATAATTAAAAAACTTTATCCAATAATATATACATTTATATTTTTATTGCTTTTATTTTCACACGCTTTTTTTATAATACTGTTTATTTACCAATTAGTAAAAAATTTATTATTATTATTTTATATAATATAATATAATATAATATCATATCATATATTAAAAAAATCAAATTTTAATAGGAATAAAATAGAAAATTATAATAAATTGAAAAATGTCATTACCAATAACTTAAAAAAAAAATGTTTTTAATTAAATTAAAAAAATGTTTATTTTAATTTACATATAATTAAATAAATATTTCACTAAATATTTAATTAAAATATTATAATTAATAATATTTTTACGTTTTTAAAGTAAATATTAAATATAGTAAAATAATTTTTTTATTAGATTATACAGTAGTACTAAATAATGATTATAGTTTATAATTATAGTTTTTAACAAACAATAAATATAAAGTTAAACACTATTAGATAAAAATTTACTAAAATATTTTAAATATAAGTTATTAAGTTATTGTATTTTTTATCATTTATTTTAATTTTTAAATATATCAAATTTCAATACATTATTATTAATTATAATATAAATTAATAAATTTACAAATTAATTATATTTCTGATATATTTTTAGTATAAATTATATTATAATTATATAATAAATACAAATTATTATAATAATGAATACAAATATTTTTAATAATAATACTAATATTTAAAAAAAATAAAATATACTAAACAAACAAAAAATCTTATAAATTATTAATAACTATTTAACTGTTTTATATTTATTATTATTATTATTATTAATTTCATCTCATGAAAGTTAATTATATTTAATAAAATTAAAAGTTTATTTTAGATTTATTTAAAAAAATAATATTATAATTAAATCTTAAAAATTACATCAAATCATATTATTAAAAAAAATCTATGAAAATATTTATTATAGTTATAAATCTCTAATATTTTTGTTATTGATAAATCTATTTATTTAACATTTTATTAAAATTTATGACTAAAATTGAATGTATTGATATAAAAAATAGTTTTATCTGCAATTAGTCTAAATTATAAAATTATTATTATAATTATTAGTTTTACTATTATTTTATAATACTTATCTTTATTAATGTCATATTAGCAAATAATGAGAAAAGTAATTTTAGTTTTATTTCTTATAAATCATTTTCAATATAAAAATTATTTAAATAACATTAGATATATAAAATATAGATATTAAATTAAAAACATTACAATAAAATACTATATATATATATATAAAATTTAATTAATAAAATATATAATTTTAAATAACATTATTTAAAAATTTAATTAAAATTTATAAAATATTAATTTATTATCATTTGTAACATTTTTGGGTTTTTATTTTAATTTAAGTTTCTATAAAATTGCCAACCAGATATTTGTTCTAAATAATCAATGTTAAATTTAAAATCATTGATGGTCAGTTTTTTATCAATTAAATTGTTATTTGACATGATAAAACTGTCCATTTCATATTTATCATATTTTGTTTCCTTAAGCAGTACTTTGAAAAAGTGTGTTGGTACTGCAACTTGATTTTTGCCAATAACATTATAGTTGATATTATTATTATTATTATTTTTATTATTATTATTATTATTATTTTTATTATTATTATTATTATTATTATTATTATTTTTATTATTATTATTATTATTATTATTATTATTATTATTATTATTATTATTATTATTATTATTATTATGCTCCGGCAAATACAATGGTCCCGTACAAACCCGTACGCTTTCATAATGTTGAACACATTGTCTTGTATAATTTTCCAATTGTTTCCATAGACCCTGATTAAATTCAATGACTTGTGGACAACAATTTGTTAAAGCATAAGTTTGATAATAGCTATTTATATATTGTATTTATAAAAAACTAGCCGCTGCTAAATGACCACGACTCAGGCCGCTATTACGATAGTCATTGTTAGACGATAGCCATTTTTGTTCAATATTTGAAATATCTTGGTGAAAAATAATTTTTTTTATTTTTAAAATTTATTTTCGTATCAATAGTTTTGTTAAATGAATATTTAGTCAAATATTCTAACGACCAATTTGGTGATCTTGTTTTTTTTATTATATGATATTATAAAATCGTTATAACATATAATATTATCCATAGATGGTAAGCCTAGTTCATATATAGGCTTTAAATTAATTGGCAATGTTAGTATTGCTACAACATTATTATTATTATTATTAGCGGTATTTATTGGTGCCGTCGGTGGTGGTGGCGGCGGCTGATGATTGCTGTGGCCATAATTTATAGCATCCATGGGTAGACAGTTGTTGTTGACGGGAATGTTGTGTTTTGGGTACATATTTAACAACGGTTATAGTTTTTTTTTATTTACTGCTAATTGTATTTAAAAAAAAAATTAATATAATATTACAAATACTTGTAAATATATATATATATATGTAAAATATAAAATTAATATATATTAAATATAACACAAAAAGTTTTATATATATATAGTAATATATAAATAATATGTTTGTATAAATTTATGTTAGTTTTTTACTTTATAAAAATACTAAATTAATATAAAATACTACACTAATAATATACACTTAATGTCTCACTAAGTTTAGCTTCAGAGGAACAATGAATAATATTTTTTTTACATAATTAAGTAAATTATATTGTTTTTCCAATTATTCAATCTCTAGTGCAATAAAAAATATTTGTGTTTTTTTTAAATTGAAATATAGTTTTGTGTTCATCAAAATTATATATATATATATATATATATATTATATATATTTAGTATATTGGTATTCAAAGTATTTACATAAAACTTCTACATAAAGGGTGTTACTATTGGTTACAGTTATCTTACAATTACCTTAATATATGTGAAAATAGATGACTTTTTTATTGCACTGATCTCACATTAATTAAGCATTTATTTTATATTAACCTTAAAAACTTTATATATATATATATATATATATTAAAACTTATAATTCAATAATCTATTATTATTACTAAACTATTAAAAATTTGATTATAATGTTTAGTTAAGTGTTATATACAGTATATATAATTTAATCAATTTATTTAACAATATAAAAATACCTAAAAAAAGTCATATTTTTTTGAATTTATATAAAACTTAATTTTTTTTGATAAAAAAAATGTTTCACTACTTTATATTATATTACAAATGCAATTGATAAACGCAATGCAATCTTTGACATCCGGAAAATATATAATAATAATAATAACAATACATTACCGGTATAAATATAAATCAATTAATTTTATAATTATTTATTAATTAATTTTATGACTTAAGAAAATAAAATTTTTGGCCACTATTTCAATGTGCGACCAAATAATACTCTAGTATTGTTAGTGGACAAAAACTACCTGGATAATTAGTTTTTCAGTTTACTAGAGCTAGTTTTAATAATTGATTATTTAAGTCAATCGGTCAACAATTTCATAATTAATTTATTTTATAGATTTCAAAATATAATTAATTAATTTAATTACAGATTAATAAAATTTAATAAAAAACACCAGAAAGAAAAAAACTGTACAATTAATGTCAAAAAACAAAAAAAATTTAAACTAAAAATCATTTATTAACTGAAAAGTAATGTTTCTTTTTCGGTGCCGCCGAAGACTTCTTCTTTTTATGTATGGGTTTAGTAATCAGTTGTCCGCCAAACTCACTGTTTCTCATCTCATTGGGCAACGGATTGCCGCCGTTAGTAAGTTTCGGTCGTTTAATGGCCGGCTGTTGTAGTTGCAGTCGATCGACACCATTAACACTACCATCAGCTGATGGTATACTATAATCGTTGTCATTATCGCCAACATCACTACCGTAACCAACATCACCATCAGTCGGTTGATAAGCACCGGTAGTATGTTCAGCACTGTACTGTACCCGTCGATTATAACTATTATATTTTTGTTGTAAATCAATACTCTGTTGTTTCAGTCGATAGCCGTAAGCGCCCAACGCTTTCGGCGATTCTTGTAATGCAAAACTTTTGGCCAAATGTCCCAAATGTATGGATTTGAACGGTAACTGTTCGCTAATCTGTTTCGGATACGTAGCATAGGATCTAATGTACGACAGATAGGCTTTCTTAGCCAATGATTGGAGATCCTGGTCAGCAGTCAATGCCGATTCATAGCTAGACTGTAGTTCTGTAGCGTATTCTTCATCGGTAAAGACTTTCCGTTGAAATGTCAATAACATCAATGATTTCAACAATTGTTTTGCATTCAATTCTTTCAGATTTATATTCAACTCTTTTTGTAGTAATTCAAGAAAACGGGTTTCAGTGGGCAAAACAAACTGTACGGCATTACCGAGTTTACCGATACGTGCCGTACGTCCGACTCGATGGACAAAATCTTCGGGTTTCGGTGCACAGTTGTATTGTATGATCCAATCGACTTCGGGTACATCAATACCTCTGGCAGCGACATCCGTACAAAATAGGACACCGTTTCTCGTTTGACGAAACTCTCGGAATACTTGTTGTCTTTTTGATTGATCCATTGATCCGTGCAGTTGACAGAAATTAATCGGCCGATGATTGCTTGCAATCAACAGTTTGTTGAATACAGTATTAAATAGTATACAATAATAGTCGACAACGTCCTGACCCGACATAAATACCAGTGCTTTGGATGACTCGACGAGCGAACACTTTTCAAGCAATAGTGCCGACAGTGTAACCAAACGTAGTTTTGGCGCTACTATTACATAATGATTGGTCAGATTATCGGGCAATACATATGTTTGCAGATTATTGTTGTTAAGGTTGACCTCATCGCCAATGTCGACAGTTTTCGGTTGTGTTAAACTAATTCCGGCCAATTTTTGTACCGGTTCGGTCAACGTAGCTGACAATAGTACAGTTTGCGGCCTATCGTAGCATTCATTATGCAACTGATCGGTAATTTGTTTGATTGAATCTTCGAATCCTTGTTCCAGTAGACGATCGGCTTCGTCGATAACAAACCACTTAACACGTCTCAGATGAAGTGTTTGTGTACTCTGTAAGTGATCCAACAGACGACCCGGTGTTGTAACCAAAATGTTAATACCTTTACGTATTCTGGATTTTTCCGATTTTTTCTTTTCGCCGCCACACAGATAGCCGGGAACCAGTCGCCGATAGTACTGACATAATGTAAAAAAACATTCGTAACACTGTAGAGCCAGTTCACGAGTCGGTACAACAACCAGTGCGTGAATACCGTCCGCACGGGTAATGTGCGGTACGATTGATTGTAAACGTTGTATAATTGGTACGGCAAAAGCTAGAGTTTTACCCGAACCGGTCATCGATTTGATTAGGGCATCGCTACCCGACATCAGTACCGGTATTGCCTGCTGTTGGACAGCAGTTGTCGTTTCAATCTTGAATCGTTCTTTCAGACACTTGACTAATACGGGATCTATTGGTAGTTCTGAGTATTTATGGCTCGAGAAGACCGGTTCCACTCGTGTTTTGGCATCAATTCTATGGATATATAATACAAAAAAATTATCAATAAAATTGGTTATAACTTTCCTAATGAAGAAGACGTTCTTACAGATCAACTGATGGCAAATCATTAGACGCGCCGTCAAAGAGTCGCGACATATAGTGTGGCTGTTGTTGTTGTCGTCGTTGGTTTGGACCCGAAAAACGAGTAGCAAAACCCTTGTTTTCGCGTCTATTATCTCCACCACCGGCGCCGCGACCCATCGGGACGACGTTGTTATCCGCTGCTTCCCGATGTTGTTGTCTATCGTCAAACCGATCATCAGTTGACGGCTGCTTTCTGGGCCATTTCGGCGGTGACGAAGTCATCGTCGTCGCCGATCTTTGCGGTGATGGAGAAGACCTCTCCGTCGGACCTTTCGATGACCTATCGGTTGTTATTGTCGTCGTTGTCAGTGATTTGTTATCATTTTTCGGGCCAATCTTTCCCGATAGTGGCTGCGGTGCTGCCGATCTTTTACGGCTATTTTTATTGGCCGACTTATTTCCACCGCCGCGGCTGCCGATGTCGTCCGACGACTGAAATATATTCAAAATAAGATTATCGTCGGCTGTCGTCGTCGTGTCCATCGATGACTGATTTAATGTCATTTTTTTTGTCTGTCGATCAAATTTATTGGCCAACAATTAATAATAATAATAATATTATTAAATGTCAACAAAACGTGTGTTTATTTTTTTTTTGTAAAACACGTGTAGAAACTACTGGTATAGACCTCTACTGGTATTAATAGTAAACAAATATATATTTTATTTAATAAAATAATTTTTGTTAAAAAATTTTAATATATATTAATAGTTGAATATATATTTTTTTTGAATAAATAACGTTTTTCTATTGGCTAATAAACTTTTCAACTATTACTCTATACTATTAAAATGTCAATTAATTTATATATAAAATAATAGATAGTATAGTATAGTATGATTGCTAAATAATTTATATATAAAAATAAAAGTTTATTATAGTTTATATTATTATATATATTGAAAATAAATAATTAAATTAAAATTAAGCCAATGTTTTGTAACTAAATTATCCCTAGTATTTTTTTTTAAATAAAAATATTACCATGCTAATTTTTAATAACTTTAAATTTGTTAATTAATTAATTAATTAGCATAATTTTATTATGTTTGTATGTATGTATGTTTAACAACCCTACTATTAATATTATTAGTAAGCCTTTTATTTTTTGTTTAAATAATTGGCGCCAAAAAATAATAATAGTTAAGTAACTGTTAATACCATGTATTATATATAATAAACTTTAATTTTTATTTAATTTTTCCCCTTTTCTATAAATAATCTATTAGTCAATAAGTTATCAAGTTTAATTAATTATATCATATATATATATTTAATATTAAAAAAAAGTGTCTACGTGATTTTTTAAACGACATTTTTATTTAATATAATTTAAAAAAAAAATATATAATAATTTATTAATTAATCTAAATTAAATTAAAATTTTATTTTTTTAATATAGTATATTCAATGACATTATTATTATGTGCAATTTTTTAAATATTTTTAATTAATCCTAAATTTTAGTTTTTAATTTTAGTTTTATTTATTTAATTAAAAAAAATGTGTGTAAAAAATACGTTAAAAACTGTTATGTGATTTAACCGTTTTATTTAAATAATTTTTTTTGCCGCCAAAATTAATTAGTGTAAGTTTTTTTTTAATAAATGATTTATTTAATTATCAATTTTTAATTTTTTTTACAAATTATCCTTTTTTTAATTAATTTTTAAATTTATTAATTTAATGTGTGTGTGATTAACAATTTTTTTTAATAATTTTAAAATAATATTACATCAAAAATATGTGTTTAAATTTTATTAAAATTTATTTATTATTGTAATTAATTATGAAAAAATATTTTTTTTGCATTTAATTTAATTTTAATTTTATCACAACTATATCTAAATTATTTAGTTATTCACAATTTGATTGATTTTTTTTTTTGGTGCAATTAATAAATAATTAATTTTTTTAATCATTAATAGTATAATTATTTAAAAAAAAAAACTAAATAAATCTATTATAGAATTATTATTTTTTTTTAATTTTTAGTTTTCAACTATTAAAAACTTTTAAATTTTAAATAAACAATTATTTTTATAATAATTTTATTTAGTGTGTGAAAATTTATAGAAATTAAATTAGATATTAATTAAATAATTTTTTTTTATTGCATTTAATTATAAAAATGATTGAATAGGTGTTTAGCAGTGATGCTGATGATAATGATGATGATGATTGTCATCGATGGTAATAATAATTGATAATAATTTGGGATCAAATTGTTAGATTTTGTTCCTCCAATTTGATCTCTTTAATATCATTTTTATAGACAAAATAGTAGCTAGGTGTTCTCATTTTCTAGATATTTAATTAAAAAAAAATAATATTTTTAATTTTAATAATTTTAAAAATATATATATATATAAATAATTATTTAAAATTTAGATAATTAATTTTAATAATGTTTAATTAGCATTTTATTATTTATATACAATATTATTATTATTAATAATACTAATAATTACAGTATTTATTTATTATTATTATAGGAAACTTATATAATAATAAAACTTATTGTGTGTGTAATAAAACTAATTATAGTGTATTTTAAACAAAAAAACCAACAAACATATTGTGCAACAACAATACACTACTAACCACATCCCGGAGCTGTCTATTAGCACCGGCACGTATCAGCACTCGACCAATATCTTCGACTAGACTGCTGGCCATTGCGTAATGAAGTGGTGTGCGACCCATCTGTATGTGTTTGAAAGGTAATGAAAAAACAATTTTTTTATTTATCTATTACTATAATTAGCGCTGCGATTGCAAACAATATGATATACAGGGGGAGGGTTAGCTAAGAGAGGGTAGGGTAGGGGGTATTACATGATCGGGTGTGTTGACTGCCCGCGGGTTTGACTCGATAAGCGAGCTAATGATGTCCAGATTGGCGAACAGCACCGATATGTGCAGCGCATGTCTGCCCCGCTGACTCTTAGCCACCACTAGATTGCTGTCCAATTGTATCAATTGGTCCACTCCTTCGACATACCCGTGCCGTATGAATGTATGCAATTCGTCGCGATTTTTCTGTTAAATGTTTTTTTTAATTAAAATGTTTTTTTTTCTTATAAAATACAAGTTTTAAAAAAAAACCTGAAATTGTGCCAAATCTTTGACCATTTCCTGCATTCGCTGCTTATGTAGTCTCTTAAGTATAGCCATAACATCGTGTCCTTCGCCATCGACAACAGTCAATAGGCTATCATAGCCTTCCAGTGCTAGGGATCTAATGAATTGTCGGTTTTCATTGACAAACGAGTCGAGTATATACAAGTCGATGGCCCGCAGATTATCTTTGATACCGTTTTCCACAGTTATGTCACGCATTGTCCTATATTTGGCATCCCTTTCCGGTATCAGATACTCGGCTTGCGATAGCATTTTGTAAAATACTGGACCGAAACAATCATATATATAATTTTTTTTTGTTTTTTAAAAATAATAATAATTTATAAATATATATATTTATTAAATATGAAAAAAGCAAAAATTATTATTATTATTATTATTGAATCGTTAACATTATATTTATATATAGATTAAAATATAAATATATATATATATATTTAATATAAAGATACAGTAAATTTATTTTAAAAGCAAGGTTTACAGTATTGGTGATAAAATTATTAATTTTATATATAATATATATTTGTTTTTGAAATGATAGCTAATTTTTTGTATATCACGATTATTATTTTTTTGGATAAATTATTGGTATTTATATTATACACACAAATATTGATAATTATTTTTTTTAATAACAAAAAAAAATAATTCAATCAATTAATAGGAACTATTGGTTATAATATTTTAATACATAATTATACTTATTATATTATAGATGATAGTAACAAATTTTCAAATTATATTAATATACTACTAATTTTTTAATTTTTAATATTGAAATTAATAATTTAAAAAAAACTCAATTGAAATATACTATCTTTTAGACTAAATAGAGAGAGAGAGAGAGAGAGAGAGATTTAATCTATTAAATTAAAAGTTTAATATATCACTGAATTAATAATAATTATTATTATGTTTTAAATTAAATAATTATTACTATTACTAGAATCATAATTATTGATATTTAACTTTTAAAAAATAAATTGTAAAAATTATATTATAGATTTTAAAATTAACTTGTTTGTAACTAAACTAATTGTTTTTTAAAATTATATTAATTAATATAATTTTGATATTAACAGTAAATTGATGATAAAATCATAAAATAATATATTATATAAAAAATCATATATTTATATTGATAATTATTTTCAAAAAATAAATAATAATTTAAGTAATCTATTATATAATAGGAACTGTATTTCATCACATAATTATTATACTAAAAAAAGCCAATTAAACAAATTTTCAGATATATTATCATATGATACTAATTTCAATTTCATAATATTGAAATTAATAAATTATTTTCAAAATTAATTGATTTGATATCTAATTTAAAGAAAATAATATAGTCTTTAGACTATTTAGAGAGAAAATAAATATATATAAAAACTAAAAAAATTATATTTAATATTAAAATGAGAATATAATATCATATATGACTGATTAAAATATAAACTTATTATTATTATTATTAAAAGTAATAATATATATATAATATATAAGAATAACAGAATATTCTTTAAGAACCGGTTCTCTGATGTGGTTTAGCGGCCAATAAGTGCATAATTGTCTGTCCGTTTTCATCCTTAATCTCAGTCAAGTCATAGCCGGCCGTATTGGCGCCGTTAGCAATGGCTACGCCAACGGCAGCGCCATTAGAGCCATCGTAGGGCGGCTGAGCCTTCTGTATATTGTCGACGACACGACCGTTGACACTGACCACTGATGCCGTAGTGGCTGTCGTTGCCGCCGACGATGACGTTGTCGACGAACCAGACATTTGCCTTTCGTAGCTCTTCTGTAGTCTTTCTTTCTCCTCTTTCAGCGACTTTCGGTATTCGTTAGACATTGTCTCGAAGTCTTCATCCCCTTCCTCTGCCAACTCAGTAGCCTCTCCTTCACCACCGCCACCACCACCTCCTCGGTTAGTAGTACTTGTCATCGACGACTGCGATACTGATCGGCTAACCGATCGGCGATTATTATTATTATTATCGTCGGCATCGACATGAACTTCGGCGTCCACTTCTTGACCGCGATTGACATTATAGACAACCGATGTATCCGAGTCGGCATCAGTACCGTTGTCTGGAGTTGGGGTCAGACCTTATATTTTTTTGTTGTTGTTTTGGTTGTTTGTTTGGTAAATAATTTTAGTAAAAACATTGATCACTAATTAAACTAATCCACAATACTTAAGCCACAAATAGTTAAGTGAGTGTATATGTGTAGGTGTAGGTGGGTATGTATAGGTGGGTGGGTTTGTGTGTGTGTGTGTATGTGTCTACTCACGTGACTCGATGTCGGCAGTGGGCGGTCGGTGCCATACTTCGGCACTACCGTTAGCTTTATCATCGTCGGGCGGCATATAATTTTCCAACAATTGCCTAATAGTCAATACTCCCGGTGTTTCCAAATAGTATTCCGGGTTATGACCGGCCTATTTCGGGGTTGTTATTAATTAGAGAAAATCGTATATATATATTATATTTTTGTTGACTCACTTTATCGGTTAGGGAGGCGTCGGCTCCCGCTTTAGACAATAGTTTATAAAATTGTTTGTTTGGATCACTCATTATAGCTGCATAGTGTAGAGGGATGCGGCCCTCCTATTAATGAAAAAAAATTAATTAATTTTATAAACTAATAAACTTGTAAACAATTTTAGCTAGATTAATTTTTAGCTAGATTAATTAATTAATTATAGAATTTTTCGATACATTATCTGGTCCATTGATTGTTTCGGGAAACTGTTGTATAATATATAGCATAACATCCAGGTGCCCGTGCAATACCGACAAGTGTAGTGGACTTGAACCCAGATGATCCCGGCTCAGGGCAAACCGTTTTCTAGTCAAAACTTGTTTGACTTCATTGAGATTACCCCGTATGACTGTATCGTGAACTGTCCTAATTTTTGACATATAAGTGGGTACTAGATCTAGAAAATCCTGTACACGATTGTTGTTTGATTTGCGTCCAATTAGCCGATCTCCCTGTCCGGCTATAACTACATGTTCCAGTCGTAACAGATCGGCATCCATAAGCCAGTGGCTAATCAGTTCATTGAGACGATCATCTGATATTAATATATAATTAATATATATATATATGTATAATAATATTGGGTTGTATAGGTTGGGTGCCAATGAATAATGTTTTTTTTTTGAAAATAAAAAAAATAATTTTTATAGTAATAAATAAATAATTATAATTAAATAGTTTTAAAAAATAGTAGTTTAGTTTATTTAAATAATTTTTTTAGTATATGATAAAATTATTTTTTATTTAATTATTTTTTGAAACAAAATATTACAGTATATATTTAATATATATTTTGTATTTAAATTCAAATTATTTATAATTATCAAACTATTTATGCTAATAATTTTTTTTAATATAAAAATCTTTATTATTATTATTATCGATTTTATAATTACTAAATTTTATATAATTAATTTTTTTTTAAATATTTATATAATAATAATAATATTCAATAATATAATATATTGTATCTAGCTAAGTTACAACAATTATAATTTCAACATATTTCAAAAATTATTTAAATACACACACAAAAAAAAAGTTTATTATTGATATTTAATATCATATTTTTTTATAGAAATAATTAACAATATTATATATTTATATATATATATATATATATTGCAAGCAATTAGACAAATTAACACAAAACAAAATAACACAACTAATACATTATTTAATTAATTTAAAAAATTAAACTACTGATTAAATTAAAAATTTTTAACAAAAAAAAATTAGACGATAGTGTGTAAGTAGTAGTAGTTTTTTTAGTAATCACCTGATTGTGGATTAATAGTGCCACCAATGGTTGTAGTGCTCTGTCTGCTATAAGCCCGACCCAACCCGGGGGTAGTCGACCGGCTGCCACCACCACCACCATCACCACTAGTTGATCTCATTTGTTGTTGTTGTTGTGTTGTTGTTGCTGTGGTGGTGTCATTGTCCACACCATTATTATTACCGGTGTTTTGGTTGTCATCATCAGCATTGACTACCAGTCCGATAGTGATAGCGATATAAATGATAGAAATAAAATAAAATAAATGAATAACCGTTTTATTGGGTCATTAATTACCAGTAAATTGAATGAATGAATGAATTGTATAATACCTTTGCTGTCATTATTATTATTATCAATGATTTGATTAGTTTTTTCTTCGTTTTCTTCTTCGTCTTCATTATTATTATTATCGTCGTTGTTGTCATTGTTGTTGACATTCATAATCAATTGGTTTTCATCTGATATACCATCACCTGTAGTGGTGGTGACGGTCTGTTGTGTTTCTTCTCCATCGTTGCTATCAATAGCTTCTCTCTCTTGATCTTCTGTTTGATCGATAGTCGTCTCGTTATTATTATTATTTGCAACTAATTCTTCATCAGCTACTGCTTCAGCTGTTGTTGTTGTTTCAGTATTATCGACGACAGCTGATGACTGTTGATCATCAGCAACAGCACCGGTATCTGTAGTGTCGGTATCGTCGTTGGCGGCAACAGTCTCACCACTATCTTCTGTCGGTTGTTGTGCCAATGATTCATCGACTATGGATTGACCACTTTTTTTGTCATCCGTATCGTTGTTAGCATTGTCTATGATCTGTTCCTGATTTTCTGTTAGCTCCTGTAGTTGTGGACCATTACCACCACTGTTATTGTCGTCGTCGGCATCTGCGACCTGTTCAGCAATCGACGACTGTCTGTCCAATTTGATTGAACTTTTCGACGACTGTCGCCGCACTTGACTGGACGGACGCGAACCACCACCGGACGAACGCCGCGATCCGCCGCTACTATGTTTAGAGTCGGCACCACTGGATGATCGTCGGGAAGTGTTGCCGCCGACCTTCGATGACGATCTTCTCCTTCCGTCGTCAGTCTTCCTATTGGTGGACGGATTTGTTTCGGAAACTTCTGTTTGATCTACTGTTTGTTCATTAACTTCATTATCACCATCTGTTGCAACAACACTTGATGAAAGCATCGCCGACTTATCTATAGATTGTCTATTAGTATTGTCCTCCTCTTCCTCTCGTTGTTGTTGTTGTTCAACACTTTGACCATCACTTTGTTGTTGTTGGCTATCATTTATAACCTCATCCTTGCTGTCCTCCTCCTCCTTCTCCTTCTCCTCATTTGCCACCTCTGACTGACTATCCATTTGTATTTCATTATCATCGGTATTGTTGTCTTTATCTTTATTTTCTTTATCAGTAATTATCTGATTCTCCTTTTCTTCTTCTTCTTCATTCTGTGCCTCAATAATAGTCGTCGTCTCATCAATTGTTGCTGTCGTCTCCCCCTCTCCTCCCCCATCAGTCTTGATCTCTCCCTCTATTAGTGTCGACGACGACGACGACGACTCTCCAGAGTTTTCATTAATAACTACTGATTGTTGTTCTTCTGGCTGTGAAATCTCATTATCACTGATTGTTGAAACTTTTTCTTCATTTTCTTCTTCTTCTTGAATTTCATTGTCATTTGATGATTGAATTACTAAATCATTATTGACTTCTTCACTATTATCACTACCACTACTACTACTATCAATAGGCACTGGTTGCTCATCAACTTCTTGGTCGACTATAACTTGACCATCGATTACCACTTGTTCGGTAACGACGTCGCCATCCATCTCTGAATTGCTGACGACATCATTATCTTCGCTACTGTTGTCCGCATCGGTAGCCTCTGATGTTGTCGTTGTTGCTGTTGCTGTTGTACTATCATTGATGACCTGTTGGACAACGGATTGATTGCCGCCGACAAACACTTCAGTGATTACATCACTACTATTGGATGTACTGCTGGTTATACTTAACTCAGAAGTGGAAGTATTATTATTATTATTAGCTGTTGCTGTGGTTATGGTATTAGTAGTTTCACTAATATCTGTATTTATATTATTAGTAGTATTATCTGAATTGCTATCATCTAATCCCTGATGATCTTCCAGTAGTAGTTGTTGTGATGGTTGGTGTTGTAATTGAGGCAATTGTCGATTGTTGGGAACGACTTTCTTTGATTTATTATTATTATTAGTGGTGTTAACAACACTTTTATTGTCATCGATTAGGTCATTATCGTCTGTATCATTGGTATTCACTGCATCTACAGTAGTAGTCTTGTTATCGTTGTTTGGATCACTGATTGTTGAAGACTTAGTCTTATTGTTGTTGTTATTGGCTTTTGTTTGGACAGCAGCTCTTGGCTTACTATTCTTCCTTAGGTTAATACTATTTTGTTGTTCAACAAATCCATTGCTATTATTATTATTATTATTATTACTAATAATATTGATGTCCTGTTCAGTCATTTTTCGGCCATTGATTGGCGAAACAAAGTCATAGTTTTGTATAGTCTGCTGACGAAAATAATGGTCAGCCGTTTTGCCACTTTTGTCCATTACTTTGGGATCGCCGCCCGAGTCGACCAGTTTTCTATAGATGTCTATCGACTTATTCTGGGCCGATATGTGTAAGGCTGTCCGTCCGACCTGTTAGTTCAAATGGGAGAGTTCAGAGAGAGAGAGAGAGAGAGAGAGAGAGAGAGAGAGAGAGAGAGAGAGAGAGAGAGAGTTATTATGTAATATACTATCAATTAGTATCCTATTTATTACTATAATATATATAAATAGTATATTAAAATACGGGTATATTATTTAAGGTAAACATTATACACTGTTTTATATTTTATTGTATTATCAAAATTATTGTGTATTTTATTTATAATTCATTCATTTATTATAAATTTTTGGGATTCAGTGAAAATCATTCATTCATTCATTTATTCATTCATTCATTACTTATCTTAATAATGATATAAATACTGCTTTAATACTATATATATATATATAAAGCTTTTATTATATAAATTTTATATAAGAGATTAGCCACACAAACAAACACATACCACTTAATTACATTTAGTGCGACAATTGTATAATAAATAATAAATAAACATAATATACGGTATATTAGATTAAACATACACTACTGAATCCAATTATTACTACTACTACTACTACTACACACAATCATTAACTGTAAATTGTCGGGCATTTAATGATGTGTTAACTTTGTTTTGTCACTAAAAATAAAAATTAAATGTATTATTAGTAGTATACCCGATATGATAGCCTATCTCAATAAGTTGTGTGTGTATTTGTGTTTTGTTGGTCACACACACACACACACACACACACACACACACGCATACACACACACACACACGCATACACACACACACACACACATATATATATATATATATATATATATACATATATACACACACACACACATACACACACACATACATACACACATAAATACATACATACATATATAGACACACTTACACTGTCCTTAAGTTGAATACATTGGGGATAATTAGTAATAAGATAGTCGACAACCTCTGGCCGGTTATGTGCAGTAGCTATATGTATGGCCAGTAGTCCATTCTCATCCTTGGCCCTAATCAATGTCGAGTCATCCGATAATATACGATCAATATTACCAATGTCATTGTTGCCAACCGATGCGTGCAATGTCTTAATCTGATCCATCAGATGAGGCAATCCTTTCAGGAATTTACGCGCCTCCTCGCCCCAGGAGGTCCTACCTATTAGCGAATCGCCGTAGCCATCGAGTACCAGCTCCTGTAGTTGTTTGATGTCGCCAGCATTCAGTGCGCCGGCAATACGTTCCTGTGTATTGGCCAACAATACTGGTCGGCGGCGTCCGATAGCTCCTGTTGCCATCTGATAGCCAGTGTTGTTGGCCGCCGATGATGTGTCGGCCGTATATTTGGCCAGTGGGTTAAGTTTTTTGCGGCTATTAATACGGGATAATTCGTTGGGCAACGATAGCAGATGTACTCTATAGTATTCAGCAGTTTTGCCAGACTAATTGGGCGATAATAATAATAATAATTAAAATATATGCAAATAGTATTATGCAATTTAATGGGAGGGTGGGGTTGGCCGGGATGGGATGGGAAATAAATATATAGAATATTCTAGGTATAGACTACTAATTTTTTTTATTGATTTTATTTTTATTGTTGATGTGATTTTTTTTTGTTATTGGTGTGGATTCACGATAATTAAGATTTATATATTGTGTTTACCACTACTATTACTACTACTAATATATATATATATATTTATGAATATGTATATAATTTATATAATACAATAGTATTGTGCAATCAATATGCGCTAAATGTTTTGTGTGTGTAATATTTATTATATAATATAATGGACAGTCATATTTTGTATGTGATGATCATTATTTTATTGTATTGTATATAATAAAATACTTGAAGGGATATACTATATATAGATAAGTGATGAAAAATATTTCTGAAATATAAGTTGTTTATATATATATGATATTAATAATCCAATGATAAGATTGCGAAACATTGCGAAACTATTATTATTATTATTATTATTATTAGTAAATTGGATGAAAGAAAATATATTAATAATATTAAATATAATATCTATAAAATAGAAAAAAGTCTAAAAATAGTTTTGGATCTTTTGAAAATTTTTTAATTACTGGTAATTAATTATATATATATATACTGTATTATAAAATTGTATAATAAAGTAAATATTAGAAAATTTCTAAATATAATAAACAATTTGTTTCATAACATTTAAGTTATTAGATTATTATTGTATTGTACAGTATTGTGTAGTTATAATTGAGGGGAAAAACAAAAAACATACATTCATTAAATTTTATTGTTTTTTACAATAATTTTATTAGTAAAATATTATTATGATTATTATTATGACTTATTATTATTATTTTGCTCTCACCATTATTTATAAAAGTTATGCCATATATATATATATATTTATATTACAAATATTAAATATATGAAATCATAATTTATAATATCGTATATTATAATATATTATATGATATTAAAAAATAGTTGACACCAATTACTAGACATAAATTTGTTTTCTAAAAATATATTTAATATATTGTTTTTAATATATTATAAAATATTATGTTTGAAATTTAAACAATTTTTGTTGTTGTTTTTGTTAAAAAAATATATGATTTTAACTAAAATTTAAATGTTATGACCTACTATAAATATAAATATATTTATTTATATTTATAATATATATGGCAATATAAACGTCAAATATATATGTGTAAATTTTGACGTTTATATTTTATATATTTATTTATTATAGAAATTATTATAAAAATTTTATATTTATATCTATATATATATATATATATATATATATATATATAAATAAATAAAAATTATTATTATAAATGTTGTCAGTATTTACACATTTATTTTTATTTACGATGTATTACAGTATAGTATAGAGACATAAATACAGTTAAAAAAAATATTACTATCATATACTGTATATGATATGATTTTATGATATAAAATAAATTATAAAATATATTTAAATATATATATATATATATATAGTTTAGTTTTTACCAAATATACGGATTTTATACTCTATTTTAATATTTTATATGTTTTTTAAATGCATTTAAAATTTTTTATCACAAAACATGAATCATTTGAAAATATGTGTGTATATATATATATATGTATGTATATGTGTGTATATATATATGTATGTATATGTGTGTATATATGTTTGTATATATATATATATATGATTTATTTAAAGAAATTATAATAAAATTAAAAAAAAAATTATATTTAAAAGTTTTAAACAAAACAAACAAACAAAAAACTTACGGAATCCCTAATCCTCGGGTCGGCGCCGGCTTTGACCAATACTTTATAGATTTTACTACCGTTTCGATTGGTCGTAGCGGCCGCATAGTGCAGTGCCGTACGGCCCTCTTTATCCCTACAGTTAACCGTTTCGGGAAACTTATCCAATATATAGTCAACCACATCCATATGGCCCATAATGGTAGCCTTATGTATGGGTGCCATACCCAGATGATCTTTGGCCAGTACATAGTTGTTGTCCCGGTTGTCACCACCATCTAGTGTGTCCCTAAATCCCGACAGATCACCGCACGATACGGCTGCATGAACCACCCGAATCTGATTCATCATTTTCGGTACCATTTCGGTTATATACATCATTGAGTCGCCGGAGTCATCATCGGTAAAGTATTCGGCTTTTTCTTTCAGACGATTACCATAACCTTCGAGTACTACTCCCTCAAGCATTTCGATATTGTTTTCCTGTATCCAACGTTTCAGATTAGCTGATGATACGTCCAGTCCTATTGGATTGATTGATTGGGATTTGAACAGTTAGTTTTATTTATGTGGTCAAACACATGTCCTCAACAACAACACATACGCGGCGCAGATGGTGACGAAACGCCGCCAGTTTTTCGGCCGTAGCCTTTCTGGCCGCCGCCGCCGCCGATTGTATCGCCAGTATCAGCACCGGTTGTTGCTGTACTAGACTTTTCCGACAGTGTTTCCTCACTAGTATTATCGCCATTACTACTACTACTGCCGGCGCCGCCAGCACCACCTCCTGCTGCTGCTGCTGACCTACCGTTAGTGATGCCGATCCCGTTTGCCGCCGCATCCGACGGTCGTTTTAATCTATAGGACGGCGATAGACTTCTCTCTTTTCCTGAGATATATAAGATAAACCAAAACAAAAATTAATATATATATATATATACAGTACTAATAAATACAAAAAAACGGATATTGAATACAAATCATATGATAAAAAAAGTTTATATGATTTATATATATAACATATATAGTGGTATATACTGTATATTGTGTATTGTGTATATCGTAATTAATGACAAATTAGATGATAAATGATGGCCAACAATGTCTACTCTATACACATAGTTTTATAATATTATTATTATTATTAAGAAATATTGGTGTGTGTGTGTCCATCCTATATATATTGTGTTATATAACCACATATGATATATATATATATATAAATTTGTATATACTGTATATACTGCTATAAAGTGTATAATCTATTATATTTTAAAAATCAGATAAATGTTTAGATAAAAACAAAAATGTGCGATAAATTTGTAATTAATTTATAAACATATGATACTAATATATATATATACATATAATATATACTATAATATATATATATATATCATAGATATGCAAAAACAAAAGTACCAGGCTTATGTTTTGTTGTTATTTGTTGCATTAAAAAAAATATTGTTTACTAATATTTAGTTTAATATTTAGTATTTACATTATATATTAATTATTAATATTAATAAACTTTCATATATTATATATATATATATATATATATATATATATATATATATATATATATATATATATATATATATATATATATATTGTTGTAAATTAGTATACAAAAAATTTACTTTACATGTATTTTACAGTAAATATAAAGTACCTGAAAATTTATAAAATATAATCATACAAAAAAAGTACTGTAAATTTTATATATTATAATATCAGACATATTTTTGGTGCTTATTGTTATTATTATGTTTGAAATTGATGTGAAATCTCAGTGGAAAAAAATTCAATTATAATAATGCACTGTATGATAATGATCCTAGGCTATTTTTGTGACAATTTATATAAATATACAGTATATTACATAATAAAGTATAAGCTATATATACATGTATATATATATGTATATAAATTTTATATATGGACAGCACATATAATGTGTGTGTGTGTGAAGTATTTATATTATATCTATATATTTTGAATATATATATATATATATATTATATATCATATATATATTGTGATTGAAAGTAATGGCTAACAATAGAGTGCTTATTATTGTTGTCTGTTATCAACAATCAAATCACTTACTTCTTGACGGAGACTTTGATTTAATACGGTTTGCAGTATTGATGGTATAGTTGGCGTTCAGACGCTGCGATCGTTTGATGATTTGCTGTAAATTGATTTGTTCAGGAAATCTAAGATAGAAATCTGCATTTTTGCCTTTCTATTGATCCCATCATTTAGAGAGAGAGAGAGAGAGAGAGAGAGAGAGAGATAAGTTGATCCATGAGTATCATCACCAACACATCCATAGGATCCATAAAAAAGAGGTTGAAAGAGATAATGGGAGGGAGAGATAGATAGATAGATACAGAGAGAGAGAGAGAGAGAGAGAGAGAGAGAGAGATGTCATTACAATTTGTTGAGAGATTTTTTTGTGGGTTTATTTTAGAAACAGTTGTGTTGTTGTTGTTGTGTGTGTGTCATAATATTGCCAAATATATAGGCCATTAAATATATGATGGGATGGGATGAGATAGAGAGAGAGAAAAAAAAATTACATTAAGATTTTTTTTTATACAAATCAATAAAAAAAATTATTGACATATTTTATTCTGGGGCTTAAATAGCATCAAAAAACAAAATAGCAAATAATACGTAAAAAAGGCAACAAATTGTGTGGCAAATAATAATATAAGCAATTTTGTTGTTAAATATTGTATTTATTTATTACAACAATTTACACACAAATGGGCTGTAATTTAATAGGGGAGGGTTGGGTGGGAGTAGAGGATCGCTATAATAGCCAATTCACTATACTTTACTATTATGATTATATTATTTATATATACAGTATATATATATAAATTGATTTAACCCCCGCCCCCCCCTCTATAGTGTTTATAAAATGATAATATTTACTAATAAAATAGAAAACTATTTAGTAATATAATAATATAAAAAAAATTTAAACTATTAATAATAATACTGTACTATATATTAATATTTTATTTAAATATTAAACATTTTTTTTAACTAACTATTGAACTAGAATTTTTATTATACAGTAGTTTTATTAAAACTATTTAATAAATTATTATCAAAAAACATGTCAATGTTTTTTTTTAAAAAAAATTGTATTTTATTTTTTTATAGTTTATATTTTTAACACACATAA